TCAAGAACCGGTGGAAAAGCCAGGCACGCAGTCCAACGAATGAAGTCGGTAACTTCGTAAGTGTCACTAAATGTAAAAAAAAAAAAAAAAAAATGCACTCCTAAAGATATTTTATTTAATAATGATGAAAACAATATTTTATCTAACAAATAATATGTAAAAAAAAAATCAATTCCCAATCAGAAATGATCTTCTGAAAGCATTTCATTAAGCACTTTCTAAACTCACATTAATGGTGGTTTAGTCGCTGCTGCTAATGAATACAGTGAAACACGACTATAGCGCTTACTTCCAATCAACAAATTACCACTCCAAACAATTGAATCCGTTCCTTTGAAAGACAGAACACTGAAACTCACGAAAGTGAATAATGAAAACCTTTCCCTGTAAAAGTTTACAAACAGTTATATCCCAGTCAATTTAACCTTCTTTGTAAAATAAGTAAGCAACTAATAAAATGCTTAAAAAGTTATTTGTATTTTGCACGTTTGTGAATAAAATACATCTCTTTCGTTCTCAATATGCTGACCTCTTATATAATTTTAACATCATGTATTAAGAAAAAAACTTAGTTAATCAAAAATTAATGAACAAAATTACGTATTTGGGGGAAACTCGACGTCATATATGGCAAAAGGTAAAATATTTGCTGGCGATTTGGAATAACCAACTCCTTTCTCTTCAAACAAAAAAATCTGAAAAAATTCATGTGAATTGGGTAGTCAAGAACAGCTGCCTGTTATAGACTCTACGGACTTTTAAATTAAACAGAATCAATCTTGCAGAAGGCAATTTTTTTTTTTAAAAAAAATAAAGAACTGGAAATTTAATAAGACCTGATCACATCGATAATTATCATGTCGCGATAATTTACAATCCACTGGTTGCATAGCTGAATGCGAATGACATCCTCGCGTAGGCAATAAATGATAAGACCCCAAACCAACAATATTGCATCTACCTTTCAAGATCTGAAAGAATTGTCATGGTGTGACAATTTATCACTACCAGGTTGCAGAACTGCAAATGAATAACATCTTTGTTTAGTTATTAAACGGCAAGATAAATAATAAAGCCTTGACAGTAATTGAAGATATGTGTAGTGAAAAGAACAAAAAGAGTCACGAATTAAAAAGTTAGCGCTTACCTTGCACGCTAAAATCTTCAATTTGGTTCGTCCAAGAAATGGTGCTGGTGTAACTAAATCCGGGTGTCCCGACAAGTAAACACCTAAAAGTTATGTGCTCAAGTAAATGACCCAAAAATTAAGAATTAGAGTAATTAAAGCAACATGCAACATTTTCATATTAATATTTTAATATGTCTAAACTGTTATTATAAATCTCCATACAACAATATTGCTTTTTAATAATACTTATGTATTAATTCTTTATCAATTTGCTTTCATACTGTTTAAGATAATAAATTTAGCCGGAAAACTGAAAACCAGTCACTATTTCTTTCCAAACAGAAGTTTATTAAAAAGACTGTCAAACAAACTGTCTTTCAAATGAATTTTAAAAATGAACTAACCATATGTTGGTTCACCCAAATCCCCCACGAAGTTATTATTAACGCAGAGGCCCCACTGTGCTATCAGTTCCATCTGAAAAGTTAGAAAAATTAAGCATCCCTAAGCCATTTATTACTGAGGCCAGAGTTTCATTTCAAATTAGCCAACAGAATTTTCTTTTAAATTTGTTTTTGTTACTGAAGACAACGAATGTTGTAATAAAAAAAAACTACACAGCCTAAGCCAATTTCAAAAAAGGGAAGTTAAGAACGTTGTTCATTACTATATAAATACTACAAAGTGGCTTCTTTCATATGACTGACAACTGACAGTGACAACATTCTTGTAGATGGAAAATGTAAAACATGAATAGAAATGACTCACTTCTCGCACATTATCCGAGAGAAGAGTGTATCCAAACGACACGTCAGCGGGTAACCGCTGGGATTCTAGCGAACGCCGAAAATTAGAGAACTGAAGAGAAAAAAAAATGAATTCCTCATAAACTTCGTAATGTGGCTTTTTCTTGCATAATATGGTAGAATTTGGGTTACCAAAAAATATATAATGTAATATAAGTCCTTTAAAACCAACTATAATTTTACTTTACCACATCTCTAGGGCATAAATATTGGAAGTGAAACAAGATCAAAACATTGATCTATTCGAAAATGTCTTTTTTTAATCGGAAAAAATAACTGTCACCCGTGTTTCCAGTTGTTTATTACTTATAATTCTACACCGGACAATTCTGATCGATTCCCGATCCTGGCAGCTGCTTGAAATATGCGATGAAATTACTTGCTGATATATATTTCGAAATGGTTCGCTGTTAATGGCAACATCGTTTACGCAATGCAGAGATATGTCTTCAAGCGCGTAAATTGATTACAAACAATAAAATTGTGGTAAAATAGAGTTTAAGTAAATTTAGCACTTTAATGCTCAGAAAAATCTATTTGTATCGCAACGTGAAGCACAGCTTATTGCAAAACATTTACGGATAATTTTTGTTAGATATAAAGCTTTTCCTAACAAATTTTCTTGAGCATACTGCTTTCACAAGCTTGCTTATTTTATTTCAAATGATAATCTATATGATTGTGTAAGCATTCATGAAGAAATTAATTAGCGCAGAAGAAACGAATTAAGTCTCCCAAATAAATGACTATAAAGTAATTAGGACAAGAGGAAACATACTTGTCTGATTTAGCGATTTTCGTGGGATGTAGAAATCATTTCGTTGCATTGCCATGATAAAAGAATAATAACTATACACCTAGAAATTTTACTGGCAGTAATGAAAATGCTCTTGTATATAAATGAACAGAGATTATATCAAAAAGAGTATTTCATTTTCGTACCAAACTATTACTTTAAACTGACTTTGAAAAGCATCCCCACCCAATTTTTCCTCAGTACTATTTATCTCGCCATAGCAAGTAACTTTTATATGATTAAAATTTTGACCGTTTGTTACAAAAATGAAGATAATGGCGAGATCATTTCTTTTGAAATTAAATATAATTATAATTTAGAGTTCTCACAAATAGCCTTAATGTGACCCTACTCACATAAGATCAATCAAGTTTGAGGATTATTGACCATTCAGTCCCTTGCACAATTCGCATTCAGTCTCTCATCTTTACCCTTATTCTAAGCTATTCTCATCGCAAAAGTTACCCTCCACCTCCTTATCACATCACCCGCTTCAGTGAAATACCAACACACACCACAACGACGTCCTGCATGTACGCACTCTGCCCGCGTTGAAATGCCACTGTCTCTATTCCTGGAAGTCCCTCCGCACAAACAGCTACAGGGCAAGACTAGCATCAACATGAATAGCAGGTAGCAGAAGATACTTTAAAGTGGTATTACATACCTTAGTCTATTTTCATTAGTTCTTATTCTTATGCAATTCGTACATCTTCACTTGCATATTTCAAAGTTAGCCTTTTATATAATACGGAAATCTCCCATATAAAAAAAGGGAGAATGTCCTTACTTAGCTTACTTCCAAGTTATTCATCTTTTATAGTACCGCTTTCTCATAACATTTCTACAAAATTAAGTTTACAGTATGAAACAGCTCATTACCGTTTTGTGCTGCAGTACCACAAAATCATATCTTCCATCTAAAAACCATGTATTTCAAAATGCGATAAAATGAGAGACGAAATTTCCCACAATAACTAAACATTGCAGTTTCTACTGCCAAAGTGCGCTGTATTTATACTAATTTCCCGGACAGTCGAAAATCACTGATCAAAGTTTTTCGAAATCATTTTGCTTTCTTAAACATTAAATCCCCGGGAATGGATTTTAAGTTTGTTGTTTAAACAAACTCCACGTTAGTGATATTTGACAACAAAGTGACATGACATCGCAAAAAACAGACATCGATAGAAATATCTGGTAATGAGGTGTAAATGCATGAAAAAGCATCAATTAACTTAATGAAAAGAAAGTTTCAACAATATCCAAACCTGGTTAAATTTATTCTCTCATTCCCAACAGCTAGCAAATGCTACGTCACCTAACTCAATCTTATAAGGCTTAGTTTCTGCAGTGAATTCGTAAAAGCTAAGGAAAAACTAGGCCTGCACCATATTCGCTAATTACTACAAAAAATAATACTAAAATCTCAGAAAAACTGGTGCAATTTTGTAAATCGCTAGATCGAGCCCTTAAGAAATTTAAAAAAAAAATTGGTGATCTGGAATTAATCGAAATAATTTGGCACAATTTCATGAAATAAAAAAATACAAATTGAAACAGTGATGTTCAAATTATTCCACAATACCGTATAAAAATGCAAAATCATACCTATCACTGTGGACATTTGAAATGAGCAAAAACAAGATGTAAAAAATCCTAAACATTCACAGTGATATTTTCATAGTATCAAATTATTCAAATAGTGAAACATTTTGTAAAAAAAAAAGTGATTATTTGAAAGAGCAGTAATTTTAAATTATTGCATTTATACAAATGATAGAGTACATACATAACATATCGAGATCATTAGTTCAAAAAAAGATTTCTACCATTCAACCAAAAATTCAGCTTTTTTTTTTTTGAAAACCTTGCATTATTCACTATATAAACTCTTTAATATTTCTAATGAACAACAAAGCTTACTTAGTGCGAGACTAGTTGAAATATAAATTTGTTACCTTGAATGGTAGTGAATATTAACGTTGGATATTGAAATGATTTTCCAATTTCCATATTTTTTTAAAAACTTTTATGTTTTGGCGTTTTCTTCGAAATTTTCGATTTTTAAAAATCTGAATTAAATTAAAAGTTACATGAATTTTTGACCACTATATACCATTAAACATGATAAAGAAGCTTATTTCGAACAATACAACATGAATTTCGACATCTAAATTTATAGTAATAAGAAAAAAGAGATATAGCACAGCAGTCAATAATGTTTTCTCCTGAACATATAAGGACAAACTTCGCCACAAGTCTCATTTTATAAAGCACCAGCACCATTGAAACCCTGAAAAATGGTATACTAAGTCCACTTAAATGAAACTGCATTAATTTTATTTATTACCAACATCATAAATATTTCGTCCTTCAAAAACAATTTTTTAAGCCACTCGAGTGCTGCTTACTGAGCATTAATATAACTGCAGTGGAAAAATCAGTAAAAACAATCAACCACTGAGCAATATCACTTACCGAATCAAGTAAACTCCGATTAGTTTGTTCCGTTTCCACGTTTGCTGGAGAGGCAAGATTTGTTTCTGCGAATGAACACCTTTTAAGTTGAGTTGGCGCTGTTTCTGCATCTTCGGTATTCCTTTCCGCTGATCTTTTTCTTCCATTATTTTTTTGCTTTAATTTAACGAAATTGAATTCAAGTTGATAAACCAGATTTAAAGGCACTGCTGTTATCAGATCAATTTGTAACATAATTCTAGCAATTTCAATTATTCTAATACTTCTTACCGGGTTCGTTTCATCATTATTCACCAAAAGTTGTAATTCACTATTTTGGCCATCACTCACGAGGCGTTGCGTAGCAGGAGATTGGTTGTCAATTGCTGAAGTTAAAAATTTTATTAAAGTCCGAAAGTTTCATTTACGGAAACAACAAGAAGTATAGGATCTATCGTAAAATTTTATCCTAATAAAACAAACAAAAGTTACCTTCAATAGCTGAGTGGCTGTGAAGAACTATTCTGCTGGCTTCACTCTGCAAGAAAACGACGTCAAAAATTTTACTTACTACAAGGAAAAAAACTTTCGCAAAAACCGACACATGTTCAAAAAGGTGAGAATAACATGAATTAATCCCATAATCGACAAACCGACTACTCACCGATAGCTTCCTTTCCACTGAATTTGAACCGATAGGAATGTCATTGCAGCTCGAGATGCTTATCTCCGATTTAGGAACTGCCTCTGCAGAGCCTGAGACTGCAAATTTATTCCTATGTTTTGAAAAAAAAAATTTTTAATTGAAATTTAGATGAAAGCCATACAAATTGAACAGAGAAAAATTTGCGTGAGCAATTCATAGCATCTGAAAAAAAAAAGCACCTGTTGGTACTGAAACTGTTGATGACATTGCTAAATCATTTTGTACATTTTTACTGACTTCCGTCCCAGATAATGACGTGGAAGGCGATGCAGCTCCCTTAAATAACTAATTTCAGAGAACTTTTTTAGCTGAACTGGTGAGATATAAAAAGTCCACAAAATATATTTCCCAGTTATTTAAATTTAATTCATCTACATGACATTACATTTCATCCGATTTGAAGGATGAACTTACCGAAGAGTTACAAGAAGCAATGCTTGATGTTTCACTTCTCGTCTTATTTTGTAATGGACCTGTAGCCTGTTGATTTTGAGAAGTTGCTATTCGTCTCCTTTTTGGTGCTTTCTTTCCCCTAGTTAGGTCTTCCATTTTCAACCATTTTACAAGTTCTGCTTTACGAAGATAATGTGGTATTACCTGAAAATGAAAAATCTAACAATTTTCCATTTCTAACGAAAATTTAACACTCAAATTACTGCTTTTACTCAAGTTAGAAAATCTATCAATGGAAAAACTACTATATTTTAACAACTTTTCTAAAATTAAATTAAGTTATAGGTAACACAGAAATACGTACACTCATTCCTTCTACGTATATATTTTGAGTAGTAGCCATGCTGTTCAGAAGATCCATAAAACTTTGAACTTCATGCTGTATGTCAATTTTCCTGCTCACAGTTTTATTCAAATCTAATCCAATAAACCAAAGCCGGCATCGAGGATTCCTGAAACAAGTTCATTACACTATCAAAAATTAAATGCCTTTCCCAATTATTCGCCCTACATATTTTTAATTACCTAAGCATATGTTAAGAAAACAGCTAATACAGAAAAATACTCACTGGAGAGAAACTTGAACCGGAAAAGGATCATTTCGTGGCTGATAATATTTTGTATGTACATGACACACCCTGATACTTTCGCGACGTTCCAAACTTGCAATCAAAAATCGGATTTTAGATTCAACTAGTCCACACCACACCAATTCATCTTGCTGAAAATTTGAGAATCATTAGCATCTGTGTATTTTGAAAATCATTAAGATCAACATAATATTTCAAGCGGTAATCTGCTTCCTTACAGATTATTATAATTTTTCAATATTAGTCATATGACTTAGGCTATGAAGAGAGTGAGAACTCACCTCTGTCGCCGACAAACAAAGAAGTGCTAGGAAATGTTTGTAACGACTGAAGAAATTAACTTCTTCAAACAATGCTGACCATCCAGTCTTTCCTTTCATTATGTCGTTAATAGTAACAAGACCTTAAAAAGTTTTAATTTTGAAAGTGGCATATCGAAGAACAGTCACATGAAACATGAGTCGAGGGTAATGGTTTTAATTAACATGGAAATGATTTGACAGAAATAACAAGGAAGCGAATGAATAATAGTACAGAATGAAAAGATCAAGTCAAAATAAACCTTCTTCGATCTCATTCATGATGATTTTGAGCGAAGACTTCGTTACATTGAATGTTGAATTCTGTTGCGGAAAAGCTGGTGTCACGATTGGCATAAGATGAAACCTGCGACTGGGACTTTCACTAGACAATGAACAAAAAATAAATATTCATTGTTAGGGATAATAATGACTTCTTTATGACTCCATAGTATAAAGAATATAGACATAAAGACGAAAGGTTACCGATCACCACTTCTTGATCGCGGATCCCAAACAAGTTCTTGTAAAGACGGCATATCACGTGCGTGTGAAATTTCTGTTTCCTTAAGGACTACTGGATGTGGCCATTCCCTGGAAACAAACATCAAGGTAAACAAAAGACTTTAGTACGCTCAGTAATTTTATTTCGAAAAAGTTGTTTTGCAACTAACACACACAAAAAAAAAAAAAATGTAACATCAATGAAAATTTTTGTGTTAGAAGTTCTTTAAAAAAAAGTTGTCCCAAAATTATTTGAATACTAATACTGAGCATGCCAGTAATTATCCTAATACTGATTAGTACCATTTTGTGTATAATAAGAAAAATTTCTGCACAAGTCTTGCTGGCCCAGTGTTTGGATATAACTGGCATGTTCGAGCAACAAGTATAGCCCATGATACACCGCCAAGATAACCAAGAACATTAGAATATATGCCATGATCTGCAAAATATTCCAATGAAAAATATATTTGATAATGTCCCAATTAATAATGAATAATGGAAGTTTTAATTCAGAGTTTCTTTTGGAGAGTCCAGCATTTACCAAGTACATTAAAATATATGCCATTTACTGAAATTTTTGTTAATGGAAGCTTAAAATCTGACAAGTGCTTAGAACATGCAACGAATAGTAACGGAAGATTTCAACATGAGTTACCCTCAACATTATAACATGAAAAGAAGATGACAATAGTTATGAAACATACTTTTCGCCCAAAGTTTAATGGCTCGTAGTGCATATGTAAAATTTGATATATTGGGTACTAGGCGTAATATTTCATCAGCAACGCGACAGCCTGGAAAAGATACTTGCTAAGATGACAGTACACAAAAATTAATTTTAAAATTTTAACAGAATTTTTAGACAGAATTAACAGAATGCCAGAATTTTTTGTAACGTGTTTTAATAGTTGGTCAACTCACCATTTAACGAACGAACACTTTTCTCATCTAAATTTCTCAATATCGAATCATCGTTCAACTGCTGATCTTCTGGCACTCTCGGTAGAGCAAGGCGAGCAAATAATATATCCATTTCAATACCATAATATTTTAATTTGATTACGGGGACAAAAGCTTCCTGAACCTGGCGTAATTCCGTTGTATTTGGATCCTAAAAACAATGATATAATGCACGATTTTGTAAAGCTCTATTATAACAAACTTTTGATAGAATTTCCGCAACGGACTTTATTCGCGAATAAACTCATCATTTGACTAAATTCCTCAATATCGATTTATCTAAATCCAATGGTTATGAAACTAATTCATCAGACTCTGCGCCTTATTCATTAAACCAAATATTCCTAACGAAAGCAAATTACCTCAGCAAGCATTTCATAGAAACTTGTGAAGAAATCGTTCCGATCCACATGTCTCGGCGCTACACAAAGTGAATCAATATCAGCTCCTGAACCACATTTTATTGGAAAAAGTTGGATTTTTCTTAAAGACAAAAAATATTATTTGCTTTTTTCTTTTGCCAAATATACCATAATAGAGGATATGACACGAGAAAAATGAAATGCAAGAAAATGAAAACTTCTCTGAGTTCAAAAAAGAAAACAAAACAAAGAACAGAAAATAAACCTCTAGTATGTACGTTAAGTCGATATGATCCAAAAGTAAATAATTTTCCACCAACGCTTTGAATTTCAGAATCAGGCATTTGCTAAAAAAATGAATAAGTATATTCTCTTTTTCAAGAATTTTTAATGGAAAGGAAAACAATGAAGACCTGAACATGAAGTGATAGGAAAAGGTTGGAAAAAATAAGATTAAGATAATGGAATATGTTAGAGTTATATGTCGGTAACTGCAAAAATATAAATGATGAACCCTTCTTTTAGATACGATGCGGACCCATTTTTTCACATATGCGTTGATTTTGCTAAGCACTTTAAGACGTAAATTCATTTCCTCTTCTGTTTCAAAATAACCATTTGCTTGCAAATATTCATCTAACTAAAAAGAACACAAAAATTATCTATTCGTATATTTATAATTGCAAGAGCTATAAACAGGATTTTCCATGCTGCAAACTGCATCAAATCTAAGAAAAGCGACCAAAATCAAAAAAATTACTTCCACAAGCTAAACAGCGTTAATTTGAAGCAATACTCACTTTTGTCGACATGACAATATCAAATTCATCCGGTCCCGAAATTGAAATGGGTTGTGAAACCCCAAGATAAGTTGTCGTAAGCCTATTGTCCTTGCCAATACTGTTGCCTCTATCTGTTGCAGTATTCTTTTTCACTTCTTGAGGCATTTGCAATGATATACAACTGCTATTGCTTAAATTATAAATAGAATTACAATTGTTTACCTCTCAAATTATAAGTATCCTTCGAGATATTTTCCCGAACTTAAAAAAAATAATGAAGGAATTGTTTGTTTCATTAAGACAGTTTGCTTGAAGACGAGACTAATGTGTTTGAGATGATAACGTAGTGTTGAAATTCTTTTGTTTATGTGGCAGCAGTAAAAAATCCAAGAAAGTAGAACAAAACGCTTATCCATTGTAAATTGGCCTGATTAAGAAGACTTCACTCTCAAGCTATATTTCTCATTGAATTTGAATTTCGTAACGAAAAGAAACTCGGCGCATCAGAGAAAGAAACTCAAGTCAATGTCCCCAACTTCCTAGTCCATAATTAAGCAACAACTACATCGCGGTGGACAGCACCGGTATCATGCAACGCTTAGACTTGGACAACTTTAGGGTCGCTGTGAAAACGCACCTCCTAACTTCATAAAATGGCACCCAAAGGAGAGAAGTGAGCCAAAGATTTTGTTTTATATATATATATATGTACTTATGTAGAAGTATATATAGGTGTCATTACATGAAGAAGTATATTAAATGAATGGAATGAATGAAATTTGATTCCCCGAAAAATTGAGGAAAAAAATTAGAATGAGGTGAGAAAATGAATTAGGAAATAAAACTGAAAGAATAAATTAGGAAAATAAATATTTTGGTTTTTTGGATAATATCAGTGCTATCCTTACTTACCTTTCTGCTGGAGGTAAGCATTCGGAGCTATTCATCTCTTTAACCGATGAAGATGTAGATGACATAGTAGATGACACATTAGACGACAATGAGACGTTTATGGGCTTATCTGTTAGTGGAGAATTTGAAGTTTTTTCATTTTCTACGCTTACATTGAGCTTGTTTTGACATTTTGCAGATTGAATCTCTGGATCGGTACTACTGGAAATCTGCGGTGAATTTGATTCGCCACTTGTTTTGCTTTCGAAATGAAAAGGAAAGACAGTGGATTGAGGAGCGATCCATCGATATCGTGAAGAAAAGCGAAGTTTCCCTGGTGGTGGAATGTTATAATTCATCTGAAAATATTAAAAGAACATATAAGAATGAAAAAAAAATGTCTGATCACAGCAGCTATAAAAATGACTTACTGTTTTTTGGATAGAGGCTTGTAAGTTTAAATATAGAGCTGCTGAAAAATGAAGAATTATGTTTGTTGTGATGAGTACACCAGGCCAAAATAACGATTTTAAAGGTCAACATTTCTTCACTTCCTATAGGTAATTATTTTCAATAAATCGATAAGGTCATATCATGACTGCTACACTGCTTCATCCAAAAATATTTGAAAATGTCACTGAAAGTCATAGCAAAACGAAGCGGAGGAAATTTTATCAAGTTGAAGGATCAATAAACATCCAAAATCTTACTTGAGAAAATAAGTGGTTCGTATGGTATCTGAAGTCGCGAGTATCTGTGGAGAGGATATTTTAATTGATAACAAATAATTAGACTTTAAATGGTAATTAAAGCAAGATCATTCTCATTGTAGTAGCAGTTTGATTATGACTGAGATGTTTTAGCTATTTGAGTGAAAAATGTAAACCACTTCTATACTAACTGAGCAAAGGACATTTCCTTTTGAAGTGAATTTGCGAAGTGAAATGAGTTTCAAAAGATGTTGTAATAAAGTAGTATGAAGTTGGATTACAGTGAAAATTTTTGATGAGTGAAAATGCTCCTCCCACTAAGATGCTCTTTCATTAAATGGCTATCGCATCGCTGTGCATGAATAAGTTACTACAGTAATCTTTGCATGAATAAGTAATCTTACTACAGTAGCCTTATGTTTCCAAGCGGAAAGGCTGGGAAGCACATAATGCCAATGAGATGAGAAAGTGCGGGGTGAGAGATTCTGTCCCTCTCACTTTTCTTTGAAGAAAATTCTTCATCTCCAAACTAAAGATGAAAAGGTCAACAAATGTCTCAAAGGAAGTGTCGCTACTTCTCGATGGTTTTATTGGATAAGAAAGAGCAGAACAAATCAGAAGATTCATTCTTCTAATGCTTTGTTATATAAAATCACTTTCTCATTTCTCTTGATAAGATAATATGACTTCTGTGATGAGGTAAACGTGGCGGCCTAATGATAAACAAAAAGTGCTGTAGACAAAAACTTTGCAATCATTATAGAAGATCTCCAGTATTGTGTATGTTTAGATCCTAAACTGAAGTCTTTTCAGTTTCTGCCACTTTTCTATGGTGTCACCAAATATTCTGTGGCCCTTGAATAGATTAAGTTATGGGGTTATATTATGTTTTCACGTGATTTTTATAAAATGTTTAATCGGCAAATTTAGCAACAGTACAAGCTACTTTAAATTTAGACGAATCATTTCTAAATTCATGATATTTTATTAGTCATATGCACAATGCTTAAGGAAAATGTTAGAGTTTAAAATAAATTAGAACATTTTTTTTGTAAGTATATACTTACATTAGATGTCATAAATGTAACTAAATAGCCACTATTTTGCTTTTAAAAATCATATTCATAAAAGTTTGGTTTTGGTTTTTACTGTTGATAAATAGCAAATTTTCTTGAAAACAACACGAAATACCTGCATTTATAGGGAGCATCTATAGAAAATACATTACTATAAAAATACTTATTTGACGTATACTAACGAAAATACACATAAAAAGAATATATGTTACCAGAAATATCTGTAAGCGATTGGAAAGGAACTACACTAAAAAGAAATATGAAAGAAAAATTCAATTTATAAAAAACAGATGAAATTAAGCTTTAACCTCATATAACAACAAATTCCCTGGAAAAAAATTAATGAAGTATGGAAGGAATGGAATGGGAGGGCAAAGGTAAAGGTATGTGCTCAATAAGTGATGGAGGAATTTGTGTAAGACTAACGCTGCTTAAGGTAATAAATTCATCAGAACGTCAAGAAAACGACAGCATTTTGTTGTGGTTCATCTTGTTTGATTTCTTGTGCAAATAATGCAATGTGTCGACAAATCATAAACCAGAAACTTTTTCACTTCTAGATATTAATTTTAATCAGCTGAAATAAATTCATAAAGAGGAAACAACAACAGTAATATCAGCCAGATATAAAAATATTTTTCAATGATTATTTTCAAGTCAAATTCTTTTTCATTTCCAGCGGTATATGGGTGAGAATTTTGAATAGTTTAAAATTCTTATTCCTTGTGTTAGATTATTATCGCTATGAAATTTGTAACTCCTTGTTGAAGGTGATTATCACGAAAGCTGTCCAAATATCATTCATATACCCACGATCGATGGTTTAGACTAAAGATCACTTGGCACTATGATTTAAGTAACTTAAAGTGAAAATAACTCTATGCAAAAAAAAAATGGTTTTTTCTAATCAACTGAACAGTAATTAACTGTTGCTGAAAAGTAATGTGGTAATTAGACTAGCTGTTATTTTTTTCATCCAATGGTTGGAACTACCTATACAGAGCAACCGAAAAGATCATTTGTTACAAAAAAGAATCAACTGGCAAATCCACATCCTTTTTGAAAATTATAAAATTATGTTAACATATAGTTTAATTTACATATCATACATTGTATGTTCCCATTAACTATCATGAAAATCCAGGTTTTGATTTCACACTCTACTTTCAGATAAATAGTCCAGACCTATTTAACCCAAAATGATTTTAAAAGTTACCACTTCTATTTATTACTTTTCTGATCACCCACTCTGTAAGATATAGTAGTGAGAGGAGCTTAAGAAATCTTGATTCTAATTTCATCTATCCAACACTCGTCCCTGTCCTTAAAACAGCTGAACTGAACACCTCCAGCAAATTGTAATTATTGGTTCAAAACAGTAATATTATACTATTCCTTCATATTCATTCTTGATATCCAATATTTCAATTTATTTTGCCAGTTGCTACTTTAATAATTGTAGGCCAATTTCTTATAAATTGGTTATTGACTGCAATTTATACTGTTTATGAAAGTCGTTTACATTTCAAATCTTAAGAAAATTCAAGTTCAATAACAAATGACATTTTCTCCAAATTGCAACACTTGTTTCACGTGGTTATGGATGCAAGGTGGATTATTCACATCTTGTCTGAATATAAATTTAAAGTTCAAAGTAAACATATAGGCAACATTTCAATATTTCTGTCAAAATTCTTGAAAGTGTGGGCTAACATTTCCAAGCTCCCCTGCACAGATTCACTTGCGTCGTCAATTCCGTTTATCTATCTATCTATCTATATATATATATAGATCATTTACCACCTCAAAGAGTCAAGAGCCAGAAAGTTATGCTGGCGAAATGTGAATTTTTTAAATGTATTCCAGAGTCCTTGATGCCACAACACAGTATTAGTTCTACTATACAACAACTATTACAATAGAAAACAAAAACCTATTATTCATACTTCAATAATTTGTCAAGTGATTTCACGACTGCGGATGATTTCACGACTGTTATTTTCTTTAGTGTTTCCACGGTATCTTTGTGCTTGTATAGCAACAAAATACATTTTTTGTTCTGTGCTCGCTTAATGATATATTCGAGAACGACGCAACATTGTTGAGTAAACGTATGCCGTTGCGAAACATCATTTTCAACCAGAAGTGAACCAACAACCACAAACAGAGCGGTGAAATCAATATGAGATGAACATCTAAATATTTAAAAATATTGTAAATTACCGTAACAAATAATGGTTTATATCAAATTATAACAAAGTACTGATGATAAACTGCTCCTTTTCGATGTTTAGCATTACTTCTAAAAAAAAATAAACCAGAACAGCATCATATGCAATTAATGTTGTTACAGTTGTCATTTCTCAGGAATTGTAAAACAGAATTTTTGAGTAATTACATTTCTTTTTGAGAGTTAGTTATTTCATCTCCAAGCTTATGTTTATTTCGAAAATATAATCAAAAATTTATTTTTACAACTCACCTTTCAATGAAATGTGGTAATTCGATAATAAGTGCTTGCTTCACTTTCCAAAATGTATCAGACTTCAACAAAGCGACTACTTGCTCCATGCAACGAAACAATTCGGCTAAAGCAGTGAAGTATGAAATTATTTAGTAATTGTAGAAATAATTAAATATTACTTAATAGAAAAACTAATTAGACATTACTCAATATGAATTACAACTACTGAGTTTCGTAATAGCTAGAGAAATAAGGTATCTTTGTGCACAGATAACAAACCTCCGTGAAATGACAGTAACAAATGAGCAATTGCTGGCACAATCTTCATTAGATAATCATAATTTTTCAGGTTTTCACTTTCTCCTTCGCTGATAACATTGCAATTTTGTCTGAATTTCCAGAAATTTGATATAAAATCAATGAACCATTTTGGTTCTCATAAATGATTATAAGTTTTGCTTTAGGTATTTCATTGAACTGATAATTTTTTCTTTCCAAAAAAATAAAAAAAAAAACACAAAATTCTCACTCTGAATGACTACAGTTTATGACATCACAAATATAGGACATCATTTGTTGAGCAATTTTACTACAACCAGTCATTTCGCAAAACATAGCAGCACACAGAATAGCTTCTCCAGTATATTTCTCACTTTTTTTTTTACACTGTCCCCATAAAGGCAAAAATTTCTATAAAAATAATTTTTTTCATTACCAAATAAATCAAACAAATATATATATATATATATAGATATACGATTAGTCTCAACATATTGTAGAATAATATCAAGAGTTGATAATACAGCCCAACTGAACTCATATGTCATAATTTCTTTTTAGAAGTTTGACAACAATTTGTCCGTTTCTGAATTGCTTTTCAAAATATATTTGCGAACAAGGTATTTTATTGGGTTTCGCTTCACATGCTAGCTATCAATTTAAATTAAAAAGGAATGTTGACATAAACGTGGATAGTAAGCATACCATTTCAACTGTAGTTTCATCCCACTTTGAAGCCAAATTTTTTCCTGCCGAAAATAATAACGCTCTGATAGCTTCAACTAACTTTTCTTTACCATCCCATATTCGGCCACGTAATGCGTTTGTTAAATTATCATAGAGCATTTCTGAAAGACATTAAACTATCAATAAATTGCTTACAAACACATTAACTATCACCTTCAGTTCATCTTCTTGTTTCTGAGCTTGCCTACTTACAACTTGCTTTAGTTTAATGAAAAAAAACATGGAGAAACAAAGAAACAAACCAATACAGTCAACGTCATCATTGAGAATACCAGATTCGGCAACTGATGCAAGTACCTTTGCTGCTTGTGCTTTCATCGCAAAAACAGGACTTGTGTTTAGTGTAAGTAAAGCTACCTCGACCATTTCCTTATGATATAAACGAATAGCAGATGAAGTGTCTGTGACAAAATTAATAAGTCATTGACATGGAAATTAATATTTCTTAACTACCTAAAAAAAGATCGAACTTTGTTTGAAAATTTCATTTTTATTCTGAGTCGTTAAAACTGCTTAAGAAATCCATGAAATAAAAAGTGAAAACATGTTAGACATGAAATCGGCTATAAAAAAAAGAGTAAAATCGCACCTGGAACCAACTCAGACCATAATTCATCCCACATCTCGATCCTCTTTCTTCCTGCCTCATCATTTTTAGCAACTGAAAAATTCAAAAAAACATTTGTACGAAAAACAAATGGACAAGGAAACAAAAGTTATTCAGAAAATAAGTCCTAAAAAATGCAAAATCCCATTGAAAGAATTTAAGGGAAGATTGAATAATGTCTTATATAAAAATCAACAAGAAATATAAAGGTCTTAATATATTAAACAAACTAAAAGACTCACCTTCCTGGCATTTATAAAGAAATATAAATGGAACAATGACAGTTAGTAACTCAGAAAGAACTTCAGTATTTCTTGATAAAAAGCGTAGAAGATGCAATACTGTCACTTTTTCTTCATCTGAAACGCCGCCATTCAAATATAAAATTTTCCGAAAATTTCAAGAATCAGGTATGCAAATCTCACAACATCACCTCCAAAAACAAATTTTTATTATTTAACTATTTGCAGTTATTGAAACTAAAAAAAATCGAAATATTCAAGAATTCTCTTATTACGAGATGGTAGTTTTTTGAATTCTGAAAACCCATCAAAATGAAGTTCAAGGGAGTTCGGTAGGTAAGAAATTTGAAAATGGCCAGAAGGTTGAAGCATAGATTTTAAGACAATCCTCACATATTAAAAAACTGTTCATACATTTCCTATTCATTTATGAATCCGGCAATAGCTGTTCAATTTTTTCCATCTTTCAGTAAGCTTACCTTGTTCATTTTGCATTTTTTGTTTTATGTAATCCAGAATTCGATTTACTTCTTTTCTTGAACAGAAAGGCAGTAAATATGATAAACAAGATGCAAACTGTTTTTTAATTACTGGATTACGATCATTTAAGCCAGTGAGAAGAACTCGTATCATTTTATCTGAAAGCTAAAATAATAGTGCATTACATTCACGAAAATTAAATTTCCAAACATAAGTGCACCTAAAAAAAGCGAAATTTTGAGATGCAAAGCATTTTTGCATTTCTCAACCAGTTCCTCAATTAAAAACTTTAAAGAAATTCAAAAAATAACTTTCCAACTTTTCATCATAGCACTGCAAATCTCATTATAATTATTAATTACATATAATATAAAAATCTAAAGAACACACCACATGAAGATCGACAAGACAACAGAAGTTCCTGACGCTGAAGGCATAAATCGATAATAAATTGACAACATCCTGTACGTGTCGTCACGCCAACACTGCAACGTAGTTGTTCAACCAATTTGTCGCTTAATTCAGGGTTGAAAACATCCTTATCTACATACGGGACAACACAACGAAGAGCAGCCATCATTGGAGAGCCATGTGCCATTGACGTACGGGCCGAGTCCAGCTCAAATAATGTCTTTTACAACGTTTATATAAAACTGAACAACTTTAAATAAATCTTTACAAAAGACAGAACACCAAGATTGGAAAGAATTTATTAAAACAGAAAAAACCACTTTAGTTTAAAGTTTAATTTATTTTAAACTACAATATAACAGAAATAGGTTCATTGTAAAATGTAAATTTGAACGAAAAAACCATAACAAATTTACCACTTCCAGTTCAACTAAACTTGATCTAGCAGCAAGATAATTCAGAAACGTTGACTCTTCTTCACTCAATGAGTCTAGCAAGCACGGTACTATTGTATTTACGTGTTGTTGTAGTGCCAAACCAGCTTCCTTTGCAACGTCCATGATCAATTTTAGGCTGGAAAATTATTAGTTCCCGATTTATAACCCGATATACAATTGAAAAGTAGAAGCAAAGAATTAGAGATCTACAAAAATTGAAAAGTGTTTTGAAATGCCACCTCAATATTTTATTAGTTTTGACACTCGATCTAACTCCTTTCTCAACAATAACTGGAAGCACCATTCCAAGCAACTGAGTAGCTTTAGCGCCATTAAATGAAGAACATTTGCGTAGCGTAATTTTAATGAGACTTGATAAAGTACGTCCTGCTGCTACTCGAACTGATTCCTTAGCAATGGCATACAGTTAAACAACGATACAAGAGAAATTTCGTATTCAATTGCAACTTTTTAGAATGCTTGGACAAATAATAGGACATTTGATTCTTGTCGAACTGAAAGAATCAATAACAATATTTCCCATATTTTTGCTACTAAATACAATTCTCATGAAACTAAGCACCTTTATATCATCCTGAACTCGATACAATATTTCGAAAAGCTCACCAAAATGTTCCACTACTTCATTAGTGCAATGTGCACTGAGAAAGTCTGCTAATGCCAAACAACTGCAAAAATCTAAAGAGTATGAAGCTCCGGCTTTAAATGAACCAAAAGGGAAAAATTAGCTGGCTTGTTCCATGTGAAAATATACACAGTCAAAGTAGAAAAGAAAGAAGGAAGGAAACAATATAGTCAAAGGCTTTTAGAATGTTAAGAGTAACATGGCATCTGTTCATGATTCACCAAATGAAAAACTATTCAAAGTTTCATATAAAAACTCAAAACATGAATTGTATCCTTTTGCAGATGTAATGTAAAAACTGAGCAAAAAACCAGTGATAACACAAACCTCGATTCACGCGTTCGCCACTGAGGGTCCGTAAGGGTTAATTTAAGTTCTTTGAAAATAGCGTCTGCATATTCTTCAATCTAAAAATAAGATGCATTATTCAGTATCGATTTCGTATGTCATATTTGCTGAAACCTGCGTATGTTAAATTTAAATTTTGACTTTGAAATCATTATTACATGCACAAGTAATTTCTTACTGATGTCATAATCGTCTCAAACACACTGATTCAGCTAATGATCTCGTATTATAATGTAGTACGGAAATATGCTTAACATTCTAAAATATATCAAATAATAAAATAATGAATTTTTAAATTACGACAAAAAAATAACAATAAATTGACTTTCATGGATGCAAAATACATTGCTTTTTGTTAGAAATTGTAACGCACCACATTTTTTTTAGAAACTGTGGTTGCTTGCCAAATTGACCTCATGGCGCCTTGGACTTTCAAATCAGGATCATATCGATATCTGTAAAGTTTTGGTACCAACTGAGCCAAATATGGTTCCATTGCACCTTTTTCTTGTTGCATTATAATACTGAAACTGGAAGCTGCACCCTAAAAATAAGATGTCATTTCAAGAACTTTTGGCAAGATTTACGAAAACAAATTGAAGGAACTTATTTTCTTGGAATTCCATAAAATATTGTGATTTGCAAGCTGCATAAATTTGTATATGAGATCCGGCTGATTCAAATCCGTAGCCAAATTGCAGAGTTCTTTATAGGTTGTCAAATTTTCCCTACAAGAAATTTAATTTATGTAGAATTAAAAAAAAGATAGTAAAAACCTTCTAATCTTGCAGAAAAAAAAGATCATAAAAAATGTATAATTGCAAGCAATTTAAGCTAAGGACGAAATTTAAATTAAAATTAAATATTTATATTTAGGCCGACCCCATCGGTGAAGTACCCAATTCACCCTTCGAGAACAAGAGAGTGTCTGGTGCAACTGGATTGATTTGTTTTCGACCAGCTGAGAGTGTATTAACCAATTCTTCAACCATTACTTTCTTTTGATTTTCCGAGCCTAGTTCAAAAATGATACCAAGTCCTTCGCTTGCAACTTCCTGCGAGAATTCTGAAATTTATCATTGAAACAAAGCAACATAGATTTGATGATATGCAGACGCGTTGTTAAAATTTCCATCCAATCTGACAGATTTCAACGTACTTTCATTATAAATGAAAAAATAATTGAGAAAATAAACAAACAGACCGCTTGTTTCGGTTAAGCCATTGATAAAAGCATATTGAATAGAGCATAAACTGTTCATTATGCAATCAAGTTTCATGGCACTACATCGTTTCACCAAAGTAAACAACCAAACAAGCGCAGCTTGACGCAAATGGCGATTCACGTGATGTAATTTAATATTCAGAATTTCCAATAAATTCGCTACTTTCTTCTCAATACAGTCCCGTCCATCAACAGATAAGTTCTTTTCCTGAGAATTTTGTACATAAAACTTGGTGTATTTCAGAATTTTGTATTTTTTGACCTTCTCATTAAGTAAATTATATTTTTAAAAACCTTCACACTTACCAGAAAAAATTCTTCTGTTTCGGTGAAAATATTTCTACGTGATGGAGAACTTTCCCCGAAAGCAGCGTCAAAAAGCGCACTGCCAACTGTAAACTGCAGTTCTGGTTGGGTAGCAATCTGAAGAAACACTACATATATGCTATACTTAACCAGTAAACAACGAGGTTAGTTATTTAAAATTCTAAGTTAAATTTTAAGTGTCACACACTCATAGCTAGGAGTTCAGTGAGGTTTTTGAAATATATGAAGCTAAAAATTTACAATGCAACAATAATTTTCTGAAATTATGACATCTCAACATGTTAGTGCCGACATTTAATGCACTCAGAAACAACATTATTAGAGATAAATAATAATAATGAATATTTCATCCCACTGTTAGTTGTTGGGCACAACCATTAGACTGAATTAGTGCAATTTAAGCACATCTCATACATACCACTCTTCGAATACATAAGAATAGTTTTAGACTTCGTAAAGATTACTTCTTAAAAACCAAACTCTCATCTGGTAAACCATCTATTTTATACTATATAGCACCTATAATTAAAAATGAAAATTTTTGGAAACTTACCTCACCACATGCAAATAACTGAGCCAAAATTTTTTCATATAAAATAGTTGGCAAATTATGTAATGAAAGAAAACCAAGACACTGCACAGCTGATTCTTTCATTTTTGATGTTAAAGTATCCTTTCGAGATTTTGCTATCTTTCCCAGCAATTTACAGAGCGAATAAAATTGATTATCAGAAATTGATGATAATAAGTTAGTCTAAAGAACAAAGCTAAAGTAGAAAATTGAAATAAAATGACGATGCACATCAACATGGTGGTGATTTTAAGAATTACAGATAAATATTATGAGGCAAAATTCATTGCCTGATATGATATTACTTCTTCGTCATGTGATCAAAAAACCTCTAACTCATAAATTAAAAAAAAAAAAAAAGAGATAGAATCAAAACCAGCTTCCAAGTAACATTAATATAATCTTGAAAGTGATTGCCTTCTCTGTTTCTCTGAAACTGAAAACAGCTCTTCTCAATAATTCTGCCAACGAACCACAAGCTGCTTCAGAGTGCTGCTGAGTAGAAAATATTTCGATCACGTTCACTAAGTGATCTTTAATTCTATTGAATTCTCCAGTAGTTAAGTCTGCCTGTGACTGAGTTGCTAAATATGCACAAAGCCATGGGACTTGAACCTGTAACTCCTGAAATATTGATTTTTTCCTCAGTTTTTGTTCAAAGTCATTTAACTATGTATATCATGGCTGCCAAAATGACAAACATATTCAAATCTGAACATATCTAAACTATGATTTAAAAATGAAATAAAATTTAAAACTTCATTGTTCGAATAATAATTAACTGAACTAATATGTCAAGGTTCCAACACTGTTTTTCATTTTTCTTTTTTTTTTACTAATGACCAACAAACACGACATCTGAACAAACCCTCAACGACGGAGAAAAAAATTAAATTTTTTCGAGCATTTCTTTTAATCAAAGCGCTCATCAGTTTACTATCACCAATAAGTGAAACTTACATCACGGTTGTCAAACTGCTCCATACATCGTTCTAAACATTTCTTTTTTTCCATATCAGTCAGTATCAGACTGTAAAGCTCAGAAAGTTTTGCACACACTGTTATCCGAGAAATGGAATTCAAATGACGCTCTAAAGATGCCACAACCTAAAATGTTTCTGAAGTTGTCGATTTAAGATGAAATATGCATAATTTTTTTCCATGAAGATTTTAAGAAATTTCCTATAAAATGGAATAACAAATGAAAAAAGAAGTTATTTTTCTCTCGTACAATCACTCCTACCATATACATGAGAAGAATAATTTTGATTTATATGAATGAATAATCGAAACTAAAACATATTAAGAAAAGGATAATTGTCACTGCAAAGAGTTATTAAAGAGCAATGAAAAGATACACAGCAAAAAGAAAGAAAATGTACTACCGCATGATAATTGTGACCTAAATTTCCACTTCCACTGTGCAAGATCAAACAAGCAATTTCGATGAGAACATTAGCTGAAAATTTATTTGCAGTTGATTTTATTATGTCTAACTATACTGAATATTAAAAAATGACAAAAACAAACAGTATTGTAATGAAAAAATAGTACTGAAAAATGAACTTACTCCAGAGTCAGAAGTAAAGAGGAATATATTATTACTGTCTTTTCAGAACTAAGATCGAAATAAAAAGGACCATGTGAATCATTAATCAATTAGTAATACACATACCAGGATTTTCTACTCAGTTTCTTAATGAAAATATTTTGTTCACAAACTCAGTGAAATATCTAAATAATTAAAAATACCTGGCTGTGCTTCATTTGCCTTCAAAACTATTTCTAGGAAGAGATGTAAAATCTCAACATGATCTTCACTGATCGAAACTAGATATCTACTGATTACAGGATAATGCGATGTTCTTGGAAAAATATCCGCTTCTATTAGTGAGACTGGTTGTAGCAAACAAGCAACTTGTAAATTGGCGTACAGATAAAGCGCTGACTGAAAATTTAGACGTTATGCAGAGACATAACATCAGAATGAACAAGCTTGTGAATTTAATTTTTAAAAAAAAAAAAAAAATCCTAAACAGTTTGAAAATGAACAATTGCAGACTCAATTCAGCATATATTTTTAATCATGACATTTCTGTCCTATTCTTTAAGTAGAAAACTAAGAAAAAGCTTTTTTCTCTCTTCGCTTAAGTACAAAACCGAAACTTTTTTAGTAATTTGAAGCATATATCAAAATGTTATGAAATAAAGAATGCGGTTTAGTATTCCAAGTCTTCATTTTTCCGAAAATCAGTATGATCTTGCTACTATTTATGGACTATATTTTAACTTACAGTTTTCATATTTTAACCTACACTTACAATGTGAAACACTTCGTCAGCAAAAGTTCCTTTCTTCTTCTTCGCTTCAGCAGTTGCAAAGCCTACTCCTCCAACAGCACCTTGCAAATTCAATTTTCGGTGAATAAATTCAACCAAATCCTTAAAAGAATGACCTGCATCTCCTGCCTTAAATCAATAAAAAGCAAAATGAAAAAGCATTACTTTAAAATCAGGTGTCGTCGTGGGGTCTGCAACTGATAAATCCAGTAGACGCACAGCTTCGCGTCTCATTTCATCTCTCCTGAATAAAAAACTGCTTTAATTAGAGGAAAAATTGACAACCAAAATTAATCGTCTTTTTAGAGTCTACTATAAATTATATTAATGTAAACTTGCAAGACATAACGCCATAAGTCATAGCGTAATTTTCACAGGATTATCATCTAAGCTCAAAATGAACTGAACCACCAACATATTTACATAAAGTTGATGCTCAGTAAAAGGTTATTAGTCCAACAGTGGGGAACTTAAACATACTGATATGCTTACGGATCTTCGCAAGTTCGACAAAGCATCCAGCGGAATTCCAACGATGGTGTTTTCACCAATGTTTCAACAAACTTTAAGGCAACAAGACGGCATTTCGGTGATTCCTAAAAATATTTATAATAAGTTATTCAATATAATTAAACAATTCAGCAAAAGAAAATTAAAAAGTCTGGTAGCACAGAATTAGAATTAGACATTACTTATCAGCTAGCAAACATAAATAAATTTGCACATTTCGCTACCAAGTATCGTAATGAACAAAATAGAAGTTCACTTAATATTTTAGCTACCAGTGAACCAGTTATTATAATCAGAGCGATTGTATAATGAATGGTCACACACTACTTTTGAGCATTAGCACTGAATATAAAGGAAAAAAAAAATATTCGGCATTCAAATAATTGCCCGAAAACTTTTTTTGCATGTATTATTTTATTTCAGTTATTTCTATATATATCTCGTCGGAAATACCGTAGAATAGTGTGCTTCCTAAAAAAAACAGTTGCAATATAGTTTTAAAAACCTTACAACACTTTTAATAGTGACTTAATGTAATCAATAGAATTTGATACTCGTACATTTAACTATCAAAATACATAGTAACGAAGCTTTAACCTAATATATGCTAACTTTTATTGCTTTTATACAAATAGACAAGTGCAACTATTGAATGCGCTAAAACATTTCAAAAATAATTCCATAAATATAGGAACTCAATTCTTAAAATGAAACCATAAAAAACAAAACATACGTGAACAATATATGAAGAAATGAGTGCTTCCAAAATACCGTTTAAGACAACATCGTTAACCGCACAGAAAGCAGGTAACCAATTTAGTAAACAATCTGCTATTGCAGAAGATACTTCTACTGGTGCCTAAAAACCCAAAATCTATAAAAATGTAAAGATCAGAAAGAAATTGAAAATTTGGAATATGAAAAAATGACCAATGGAATGGCATCAAACGTTTCCTGCAACAAAGCCATATCATTTACAACCAATTGTGGGACTTTACAACCAATAATACCAAAACACTGATAGGCTATAGCAACAATACCTGAGAACTGAAAAGTAAAAGTAACTTAATAATGCCAGCAAAAATGTTTTCAGCGCTAAAAGCAATCACATATCCATACCCACAAATATATCATTTCTCTAATCCAATTATGTTCAGATTTGCTACAACTCTTTGCGAAATAATAGTAAACAATTTGCTAATGTAAAAAATCAACCAGACGTCAAAATGCGACAAAAGTGATGAATACAAAGAGAGAATTTCAACAAATCTGTGAAATTGCAGTTGTCAACGGAAGACTCAAGTTAAGAATTTTTAACTGTGATATGGGATCTAAATAATTTAGTTTCTGCGAAACTGAATTAATTTTAAGAATTAGAAAAATTCTCGACGGACCTCATTCTGTTCAATTAGCTTTCTTATCGAAGAAAATATAATGGGGCCAAACGTTGGCAAAGCATTCGTAGGGAAATTTTTCACAATAAGCAACAAAAAGTCGATGCTTATTTGTTGCAATTTGATAGGTTTATTTTGAACAAAATCGTCTTTCTTGAATAAGCCATCAAATGCCACCTAAAGGACATGAAATATGAGGAAAAAATTAAAATACAGAAAAAAAGTCAAGATAGGAAAAGTAAATGGATTAGCGGAAATAATTTGAAGAAGGAAATTTTAAGCTTTTCAATCTTTCTCATGGAATTCGAAAGTTTAGCTGAAAATGGACCTTTCCAAGAACACTTGACAAAGAAAATATATTTTACTCTAATATTATGTGGGAAAGTTTGGACCGCAACAGGAGATTTCATTAATAGAGGCATTAGCTTCAACTTAATGAGAATCGTAGCTGGCAGAACTTTGTCGCTTTCTTCCAGCTTCTGAAAAAAAAACGTTATGGATGACGTTAAGTTGCATTTAATTTATTTGAGATTTTTTAAATGCATTCTTTGAATTGCAAATAATTTTACAACAGAACAGAGAAGTGCCAATAAGTGATAACAGCTAATATAATGAAAGTTACCTGATGCGACAAACCGAGATATAAATTGAACAAACTGTTCACTGTGTCCTTGTTTGTTAGGACTTTTTCCAAATCAATTTTTTTGATAGCGATATCGCCAGCTAATTCAACTTCGCCAGGGCCAAGCGCGATAGCTCCAACCAATAATGGTAAGATCTCGGCTTCAGCAAAAACCATTGATGACAACACCTTTATTACAGATAGCTTTAACTGAAAAAGAAAACAAAATGCTAATGTGTGGAAGATTGCTGAAAATATTTCTGTTCAGTCAATACTTTGAAAAGAACAAGGTGAAAATTTTTTTATTTTAAAAGTTTTAGCAACCCAGAAAAAGTTTGCGGCCTAAAAATATATTAACTAAAAATTTTGATGAATTCCAAATAAGGAAGGGACTTACCGCAGTAATACTAACTTTTGGATCATTTAAAACATTTTTAGCAATTCGCAGAAATCCATTTTTTGACATACATGCATGATCACAAAAGTTATCCAGCATAATGGCTACATTTCTATTTTCGTTACTAGAAAACAAATCTGAGAAGGATTTAATGACAATTTGGTGAAAAAAAGAAAGAAAAAAATCATTTTAAAAAAATCAATGCAAAAGATATCGCAAACAATGACACAGTTCTTACAGCCATTAGTGCATATTTTAAGTGTTTCTTGGTTTCGAGACATCCAAGCAGTAACTAACCTTGAGTTCGGAAAATATAGTATGTCCGAAAAGAATTTCAGTATTTCCGACCTAATTATTTTATTTTTTAATGGTTCTAGTGACGGCCATATTTGCTGGTTTAGATCAGCGATATATATCCAAGCACGCGCTGTTAAAACAATAAGCCTATAATTTTTGCTTTTTTGGTTAAATGCCGGTCGAAACTTATGCTATCTCTAAAAATACTTTTGGAGAATAGTCTCAATTTAATGACCCTGACGTACGACTTGTACAGTTGGAATATAGGAGATGAAACTCACTGGTCAAATATCTTCCTCTCGTTTATGTATTTCAGCAAACCATCCAGAAGATTTGGAAGAAGAGCAATGTGTTCTTTAGTGTCCACACGATCCAATGCTATTTTAAGGTAAACAATTGCGAAATTCTGCAAACTCAAAAAAATTAAACAAATACATATTATGCGCTCTTCATATGCAAAAATGGTTAGAAATATAACTTCTTACTTTCTATCTGATAATTAATGAACTGGTAGAAAAAGGTGACAGAAAGAAAATAATCCTGTCAGAAATTGAGATACAATAATTGGGGAGGGCTGACAAAGAGCTAATAGGGGAAAAAGGATCGTATATCATTTGGTTATGCTTTATTTTCATAGCTCTCTGAAATACTTTAACATACACATTTTGGCTTTAATACTGCGAAAGAAATTACAATCCATACCGTTCCTAAGAAGTTCTCTTGTGTTGAGGATAATACATAATATAAGATATCCTTCAACGGTAACATTATCATTAAATTGCTTTTAATTCGACGATTTAAATGTGTTAACACTTCCATTCCCTTGAAAGAATACATTTTTTCCACATATAACTTGATGAATGAATAGTAACAAGTGATCTCTTTCAAAACCAAAATCAAAATATGACATAATATTATCAAAATTTTCGCTTAATTAAAGTCTCTGTCAAATGTTATTTATAGGTACCAAAAATCACTTTATTTCGAACTTCAACATCGCCTGTGGAAGTGCATTCTATGATATCCAATAAGTGTTTATGAGTAAATGTTTCCAATTTTGAATCATCGTTGATTAAAGCCAAATGAAGGAAAAGACGTTCCACTAGAACGGCAGTTATTCAGTAAATATGTGAAATCCGGTGGAAAAAAAAATGTGGAAATGATTTAGAAGGGCATAACTACCAAATAAGGCTTATTAAATAACTTGTTTTCTGTCAAAATAGAACGGTTTCCTTGTATCTTAAAAAATGTATTTTAATATTTTTTCAGTATCTTAAAAAAAGATGAAGTTGTATTCGACTGATAATGGGACAAGGGAAATTTAATGATTACATGGTTCCGTTATGTCACAAGTTACGTATGAGCATACGACGTAAAATTATACACAAAATTACTCGCACGTAACTTGTATTTTGTTTCACTACAAATATAATGAATGTAAACTAACACTGAAAGCACATTTCGGAGTTTGTCCCAGTAATAACCATATTTATCACACCTAAAATCTTCATAATGTCACTGATTATTCATAATCTCTAACAACTTGATCCGTAAATAAAAAGAATTCTGTCCTTTTAATTAAATCCGACTATTATTTCTCCTAGTATCACAGTATTTCATTTTAATGAAAATAAGAAACAATTTCAAATGAATCACTGAGTCATCCATCTATTTAATGCTAAGATATTTAATCACTTTCAAGTCAAGTCAATTCATATTCAACCCACGTTATCGACTAAGGAAACAGCAGTAGTAATATTATCACGCACCACATTACGACCAGATCACTGTGTAAAGAACAATCCCACTGCGCCTTTCTGAACATCTTCCGGAAATGCTCAGGGAGACAGAATATTCTCGGTTTCTGGTTTTCTCGGAATTAATCTTTTCTTTTCAGTCTTCCAGTTTTCTTTGGAGCCTTTTTGTCTAAACATGCATCCAATCATTGCTTCTTCATGATTGCTCAGTAATGACTACACAACTATCTGCTTAGCAACTTTAATCCCAAATTTATGGGATATCTAAAGAATAGTGGAGAAACGGATATAGACACCATGCAAGGAGAAGTGAACGTTACATGAACCAATGGCCAACACGCTTCAGCTATCGCTTGATGTGTTAACAGCACATGAAACAGCACAGCACGCGGATTAAACCTTACAGTAAGTGAGGAATGAATTCAGTAAACTGAGGAAGGTTCTGTCAACAGGTTCACGTATCCAAAACACATCGACACTTTCTTTGTCATTGCCTAACAGTTTACCACAGCAATATTATCGACTGTTAAAACCAATCATTTCTCTCTCTACTTCCATTTCATACATTCATAAGCTTTCATGAATATTAAAATCTATGCGAAAGTGTGTTTGCATTACCCAGCAATGAATGAAATATGTTCTCGCTTATTTCAGGTGTCGGAACTGCGATTAATGGGACGAAATCGCTCAAATTATCGGACTTAAAAATATTAAATGGTAGGTTCGATATGAGGTTTCGAAATTAAACGTGGGAAAAAATTCTTCTAGTTGCAAATAATCTTTCAAAACCTTTGCAAACCTTGACTGAGTGGGGAAAATATGCACACTTTCCGAATTAAATAGTTATGCTAAATAGCTTTTGCAAAGAACAGTGTGACTCAAGCGCATAGAATTTAGAAGCGAAAAGAGAATTCTCATGTAAACCATTTGAAAAACTTTTATTTTTGAATAGAAAATTTTGTTTCGAGGAAATTTGTAGAATTGTTTAACCGTCCAATTTATAGTGATTTCGAACATTGTAAACATAATCAATACGTCCTGCTATGATGGAAGACTGAACGTTTTAACACTTTGACATTTCCCGGAAACACGTTATCCAAGTGGAATCTCTAACTTTTGAAAATTTCCCAATGCAACACTTCGGGTACACAATATCATTCGTTTTTGTATATGCATGAAAAACTGATAAAGAAGGTTTATCTTTACACATAAACCAGTCACTGGTTTAGATATATAGATAATTAACGAAACATTGAGACTAAAAAACACGTACTCTTCGAAAGAAAATTTACAAAACAGTAATACTTTTATATCACTATAAAAATAAGAATTTTTGAAGAGATAAGAAAACGAAGTATTTCGAGGAAATTTGTAGAATTTCTGAAATTCTCAAAATTGCGAACAGCAACGCCACTGAGTGTGATATAGAAAGAAGGGAGGTCCTTGACGAAAAGCTTGGTGGGCAAAAATTCAAAAGCTAAAGTTAAACGATGAAGGAAAACAAGAATAAAGAACACAGAGGTTATATATAAATACATAGCTATAATCAAAACTTCCTGCATAAGAAAGAAAAATTCATCGACTTTTTTTGAAAATTTTTCCATAGATATGATACTATTTAAACTGTCTTTCTTTATGAAAGTAGCATTCAATTACTGCACGCATATATTATAGTGAAACGGTTTCAAATTTTTAAGTATCATCAGACTTCATGCACTTTATGACTAGACTGAAGCTTTAACTGGTCAATATGCTCGATATTTTTGTAAAATTTCCAGTATATATTTACAATAACTGTCTCAATGTCAACTTCTTGCCAATAACTTATGACGAGACATTCAAAGCGAATTTATAGTGTTGGGCTGCCACCCCTATGAAAAAAGTGAAGGAAGGCAAAAAGCAATACTAAAATTAATGCCAATTACATATTTTCACAAACCTGATTCATTCAGCCACTCGTGAGGAATGTCTAGCAAATCTGATCCTCGTGAAATGTCATAAACGACTTGCTCCTGAGTATTATAGATTTCATCATGAACTGAAATACGTAATCACTACTATAAATTGTAAATCATCTTCGTAAGTCAATTTTAACTGCGTCAGTGTTCCGGTTCTACCAACGCGTAAGTCGCTATCTGTGGTTATCAAATAATATAATTCCACTCAAAAAATGAGAATAATTAGACAGGATAAACAAAAGTAAGATGAATGGAAATGAAAAAGGTAAAAACCTATTTGCATTCTTGCCACAGCATTCACAGCTTTACAATACTTTTCACTGAAACTATCCAAATTTTCCAGTTTCTTTGAAACATTGATTCCATCAAAAAAATCACGCAACGAATTATCTTCTCCTGCATTTCCATTATTCAATTCCATGCAAATACTTGTTGTTAGATTTTCCCCATCTCGTGTCAATTTCTCCATTGCCAAATTGAAATTGTAATTTTCTTCGTCATCAATAGCTTCCAATAAATTTTCAACACTTTTCTCAATTTCTTGTTCAACTCTTCGAAGCTTTTTATTCGACAGTTTAGGCTCTTGTAAGTTTTTCATTGACACATCTGTTCCAAATATCGTTTCAACAGAAACTCTGTTTGTATCTTTTTTGTCCAATTTTAGTACAGAATCATCAGCTCTATTTAATTCTTGGTTCTGATCATAATGGGTTCTGCACTGTAGTATTTCAACATCAAAAGCACGATCATTAGCTAATCCAATTCTGAAAATGTTGCATTTCATGTAGAAATAACATTCAATAATCGCTGTTTTAACACAGACACCAAAATTATGTTGTCATATAGGATAAAAGACGAATTCTTTTTCGAATCTTAGTAGAGAATTATTAGCTTACTGAAATACTTCTTGAAAATAAAAAAAAGTTGTGGATTGAGAGACAAAACCGCCAAGATACCTGTTCCGAATAACTGATGAAGCTAGTGCAGATAATTTATTTTCGTTGATACATTCATTAGTTTCAGTCCTTATTAATATATCACTGAAACTCGATACACTGAGCCGTTCAAGTTCTTCAATCTGTTTTTGTGACAATTTCACTGATAGCCCGATAACTTTAGAAAACGACAACTGAGAAAGAAAATCACGTATTTCATTAGGACTACTGTGGTCGGAATATTCAATATAACACATCCTTTCGTCACTGGAAATTTGATTAACGAAATACGTGATTTGGTAGTAATTATGGTAAGATTTCTATTTCCGAATCTCTGAAAATATTTCTAAATTTTATTCCAAACTTTTTTCAAAAGATACATCGTGACAACGATTTAGTCGACAGACTATAGAATGATGTCATCAATTTGATTAATACTACTTTAGATCACCGTTAGATTTCCGTCTTTTCAGAATCATATATATTAGATATACAAATACACAAACATAAAAATGTTTTTATCGTTACTTAATGATTGAATTAGGCTTGATATATTGTAGCATTGAGACATCGATGACATAAACATTCGGATCGTAGAAGACTGAACGAATATCTCTGAATTAAAACATTTAAAGTCGAATAAATTTTGTACGTATTAGTAATTACTCTATACGGCAACCAGTCTCGCACAACTTCATCTTGATTCAAGAGTTATAGTAATTTAACTGCATGATAATTTCATCTTAATCATTTACAATTTCTTATACCCACTGAATATTTGACTGATTCACTTAATTATTGTTTAGAATCTCGACCAACAGATGAGTTTGCAATAACTTCACTTACTGTCTCGTGCAGGTCCAAATAGAAGTCTCTTTCTTATTTGTTGTGAAATATTCACTTAATCCAAGAATTCCGGCTACTTGAAAGCGAATATAATCAACCCATATCTTGCACTGCAAAAGGCGCCAGTATGCAAACGGTAACAAACATTTTAACCAACACGTTACAGGACTTCTTAAACAAAATTTTAAAAAATTAAGAGTAGTAACATGTGTAATTAATACCTACTTTGAATTCGATAGCTACATCAACAAGCAATTGCTCTCGGCCAACTTTCGGAACCATAATCGTTACCGATTTAGAACCATCAAATAACTTACGCAAAACGTTGCACATTTCAGCTGATGAAGCTCCGCGACTAGGAAATTCTTCTCGTGTGCAATTAATGTATGTAGTATCCAAATAAATTGTGCTAAGGTTTCTCTAGATATGTAAATAATATTAGTATTAATATAATAATATTATTATTAGTAAAGATAATATTATAATATTAATGATATTAATAGTAGTTATTATATAATAACATATTAGCTAATAATATAATAGCAGATATAAATCTGTCTTCAAATAAACTGCTTTTAATACAGAATAAGGGATATGATTCTACGCAAATTTTATGCTTCCACATTACTCATTACTAAGAAAAAAAAAAAAAAAACTTCACTACCAAGTTTTGGCTTTAATTAATACAAATGAGATACTTTCAATCGAACACATTCATATGTAAAATAACTTTCAAATTTAAATAACCTCTCGCAAAACTGATGCCGTCAATACATTTTTATAAAGTTGAATATCAGCTCGAAAATCGCCTGTAAAAAGAATTCGACCCTCCGATATTCGATCACCTTCAAAGAGAAACATGACAGAACCCGGGATATGATTTGCATCTAACAGCATCACTGAGAAGCCATCCATATAATGCCAAACATTTAGGTCCAAGGCATGAATTATATGGCTCCTGATTCCACCAAATTTCGATTTATGTCGCTGAGTAACGATCGGGAGAACATGAGCGGTTACAGGCGAGCAGTATATATTACCATTATTCCATTTATTCTGTAACAAAATGTGAACGCATTTGAATGTAATAATTCATGCTATATAATTGCTCTGGAACCGCTCATTTCCTTTATTATCACAGCTAATCTATTCATCACAACTTAGTTCAGTGTTGAATTCCTAACGGCATTAGTAATAACCAAAGGAAATGATTACTGATCATAGAATTCCTGTGCATGTAGGGTACATATGAACTACATTAATACGAAGCGAACAGTATTAGTTACGATTAAAGTTTGTGAAAATAATTCGAACTTATTTTTTGAAATCAGAAAATCCACCTCACTCACTACAACTGCACAATTTCCATATTACTGGTGTCGTTAAAAATAAGGTTAGATTCAGTGGAAAGCTTACATCGATGGCACCGTAGTGATCTGAATGAGCATGCGTTAGGAAATAATATTTGATGGCAGCATTCTTTGGGAATTTATCAACTGCGATGAATCCACCTATCAAAACGCCTGGTTGTGGCATTTAATAAAATCTGAAACAAAGAAATTTTCGAGAATTTGAATCTAAGCTAGAACTTTTTCGATCTCTAACAGAGTAAGGAAAGAAGTGTTTAAGAGAGTACACGGAATGGTACTCTGATCTCTCTCTCATCCACCAAACAACTTCCCTTTGTAACTCCTTGAGATGACCTCGTGCAACCTGACCTCTACCTGCCTGACCTCCTGTCAATCACCAAATTATGCAAGTTTTGTAATTTTGACAATTTTCTACATTTTCAACGATCGAATCCGTTTCCATATGCAGGGATAGGGAGAATAGGAGAATCGCTTCTATAAAAGTGAACTGTAACTATTAGGGAAGACCTGTCTCCTTCTCCTCAAATCAATCCCTTCTCCTCTGTGTTTTACTCGTTAGTTGTAACGACGCAGGTATTACCAGATACTGTTTCCCTTCTTCCCAATCCCTGCATTTATTGTCTTCTGAAATAAATAACAACCACTGACTCGAGGAAGGATTAGTTCCTTTCAATGTCCCTTTTGTTGTGGTTTGTTAAAATATGCCGGAAGATAAATTCGCTCAGCTGTCTACAGCCCAGAACATGCTATGAAAAAACCCCAAATGTTGTCGCGTCACCAGGTGACACATAAATACCCGCGGGCACTAGTTTGTCGCGTCGCATAACGATAAATCGCTGGGTTCTTCTTTTATGCCAGCATATAGCTCTGTTCGCCTCCATCCATTCTCTGTTGTGAGTGTCTCTGTGTCTGTATGCTATTATTTTCTATGCGTTTACATCATGTTTTAGTGCTTTACTAATGAATCTGGTGATTATTTTGATCCAGTTAATGTGCGCCAAAAATTCTGCGCCTGAAAATACCTAGTAATGCTGAAGAATACGAGCAGAAGTTAAGCTAGAAAAAAAATGACTACTCCTTAACTGTGTTCTTCAGAATGTAATTGTCCTCAAGGCTTCTTTGCAAGGCTGTTTTTCTTTGCCGAAGGAATTTTTTCCTGTTCAGAAAATTATTGACACGTTATCTTTATTATCATATTGTCAAAGCTATAGAGCACTATTTTCAGGTACACTGGAATTGAACTATAGGCCGATGTGGAACGGTACGTTACATTTGTTAACTTTTACAGCTACTGTTGTCTTCTTCATCTGTGTGCAAATTGGTCAAGCGGTCGATAGAAGTAATTTCAAAAAATGTGAACAGTCTGGTTTTTGCAGGTTGCTTGATTTTTTATTTACGGAATCGTTATTGCATTTGAGATAGATATTGAAACGAAGTAATGTACTTAAATAAGTTGCAAGAGAACAACGTACAAAAGTTCCACATTTTATCCCAAAATTGTTTAATCTCTTTGTATAGTGTAACTTTTCGAGTTAGAAATTTGAACCCTACAATTGGTCGTATGAAATGTTATTTTCTTAGTTTCATAGCTGTCCAAAAAATTACTGCAATACTAGAAACGAGATATTGCAGGCGGCATAGAACACAAACAGAGAAAGCGGATTATAAAGTAACTGTGGGAAGCGTTACGCATAATGGTTCAACAGTAGTTGCGGATTTAGAATGTAGGATTAATAAATTGAAATTAAGTATCGTGTCGTTGAATGATGCAACAATACGAATATTAATTGATGAAAAAGAACCATCAATACGTCCGCGATTCCAGCCTTTAGATGCCTTAAAAGATGGAAACAATTTAAAAACTGCAGAGTAAGCCTCTGTCTGATTTTTTTATCACTTTGGTACGGATGCTTATTTTTATTTTAAGAAATATCGAATCCCTAAAACTTTTTGGTTATTTGTCATTACTTTTGTCCTTATCCTCAGCTGAATTTTTAAAATCAGTTCTGTGGATTTTTAATACTGTTGATCTTCACTTTCGAAATCTTCCTTCAAAACGCGAAATTTCAATGCTTATTATAGTTAGAAATTGTGACAAATATTTTCTACTTCTGAATGTATCTTATATTTAATGTTGGTCCCTATGATTATTTTGGAATCATTTTCTGTAGCTTTCAATTACAGCTTTAAATCAGTGGAAATTAGTGACAATTCCACTGTTATGATCATAGCAAACAATGCAAAAGTATTACTGAATTACGAACCGTTCCGCATTGACTTATTCATGAAAGATGAATTAGTTGTCAGTGTTAATCCTAACAGCGCATTGAAATTTGAGCAGTTTAGAAAAAAGGTATATTTTTTAATATGTTCATGTTGTGTATACTGCTATGTTTCCAGTTATTCCACTTCGGCAGTTTTTATTATTTTTTCCTGGAGATCTGACTAATAAATAAAAATTAGATTATGTAATAACCACATGTTTGCTTTTCAGGAAGATGCAAATGAAGCAGGAGTAGCAGAAGGTTTCTGGGATGAAAATTTCAAAAATCATCACGATTCTAAACCGTATGGTAACTTTTATCCTGCTGCTTTATTGGCTGGTTTAGATATGTATTCTTTTTTTGTAGATTCTGTTCATTTTCATTAATTTCGTCTTAAATCTTTTCCAGGATCAAGTTCTGTTGGCGTCGATTTATCTTTTATTGGTTATAAATTCATATATGGTTTACCTGAACATGCAGACAGTTTTGCACTGAGATCTACAACGTGAGAATTGCCATAACATTTGGGTGTTTTGGAACATTAACATTTTTATTAGTTCTATTTTGGTCGACTGAAATTACATAACTTTAGAAGATATCATTAATTTACCAGCAACAAGTTAATTGGGAATTTTTTAATTATAGTAGTAAAACGTTAGATTGTGGCTTTTAATTACTAATTCTTTTCTTTCGAAAGTGATTTTTAGGTCGATAGATCCTTATCGACTATATAATTTGGATGTTTTTGAATTTGAAATTAATGAACTCATGTCTCTCTATGGTGCAGTACCCTTTCTGTTAGCCCATAACAAGGAGCACTCATTAGGCATGCTTTGGTTAAATGCTGCCGAAACATGGGTAGATATTAACTCTTCAACCGCAGATAAGGCATGTTTCGTCCTTATTTTCATTTTGTTCTTGAGTTCAAGCAAGATTGTCACCTGTGAGTGTTTTTGTGAAACTTTTTTCTGTGTCAAACGTACCAAAAATTACCAAAGATTTTTTAGAAATTTCCAGTTCAAACCTACCAATGATTTCACAACCTTTTAATACAGCAGTTATTCAAATGATTCAAACAATTTTATCCATCAATTTCAGAGTATTCTTCGTTCAATTGTTGAGAAATTCAAGAACTCCGTAGATTTGCCACAGATCGACGTTCACTTCATGTCGGAATCCGGCCTTATTGATTTCTTTTTGATGTTGGGTCCAAAAGCTAATGATGTATTTAGGCAAAATTCTGGGCTAACTGGAGTTTATCCATTGCCACCCGTATGTATTCGTTATTTTGTTGTGAAACTCCGTAAATTTCCCACAGACCGATATTCACTAATGCAATAATTTTTAATGTTTAATTTAGCCATATTTTCTTGAAATTACAAGAATGAAATATTTTCAAATTTTCCTCATTCTGTAATGTTTCTGCAGCTCTTTGCACTGGCTTACCATCAGTGCAGGTGGAATTACAATGACGAGGACGATGTTCGTGATGTACATACGAATTTTGACAAACATGACATACCGTTAGATGCTATTTGGCTTGATATTGAACATACTGATGCGAAACGATACTTCACATGGGATCCCAATAAATTTTCAAAACCAAAGGAAATGATCAATAACTTAGTAGCAAAAGTAAGTTTTTTAAATAATTAAAAATTTTTTGGATTTTGATTCAAATTCTGAAATAAAGAACTTCTCTCATTGCAATTTTGTTCTCTTTTTTCACATAATCGTAATTTTTTCGTGTATGTCTTCAGGGGCGTAAAATGATTACAATCATTGATCCTCACATAAAAAAAGATGATAATTATCATGTATATAAAGAAGCGAAAGAACTGGATTATTTTGTAAAGGTGTGTTATGCAGTTTCTTGCAGATTCCTTATTTTTGAATATCAGAAAAGTTGCATTAGGTTGAATTTATAATTGGTTCTATTTGGATTTCTATTTGGTTTTTTTTTGGATTATTTACTTGCATTTTCAATGAGTTCATACCTTTTTTTGTTTTATATTTTTTCAAGAATCTCAGATTTATCTTGCTCTCTTAATATATATATTTCTGCTATTAATTTAGAAAAGCGATGGTGAAGATTACGAAGGACATTGTTGGCCAGGTGCATCGGCATATCTCGACTTTCTAAATCCAGCAGTTCGTAATTTTTGGGCAAACAAATTCGCTTTTGATCAGTATGTTGGTTCAACAGAAGATCTATTTACATGGAATGATATGAATGAGCCATCTGTATTCAGTGGTCCAGAAATAACAATGCACAAAGATGCTAGACATTTTGGTGGTTGGGAGCATCGTGATGTTCACAACATTTATGGTTTTTATCATGTCAGTTACATATTTAACAAGCACTGTTATTTTAACTCTATTTTAGTAGAAGATATCTCTTCAAATATTTGTATACTTAAAATATTCCTTTAATATCATAAAGTTCTTAATACAATGTGTTTGAATGTAACAGGATACTAACCAATCTAATTTTAACGTTTTTGTAGCATTCGTCAACTTACCTCGGTCATTTGGCACGTACAAATGGTCGCAAACGACCGTTTGTATTGACCAGGTCATTTTTTGCTGGTAGTCAGCGTACAACAGCAGTATGGACTGGTGATAATACGGCAAGCTGGGAGCAACTAAAGATAACCGTACCAATGCTACTTTCATTATCCGTTTCTGGTATACCACATGTTGGTGCAGACGTTGGTGGTTTCTTTGGCAATCCAGATGAGCAACTTTTAATACGTTGGTATCAAGTAATACTTTCGTTAATTTATTATTATGTTTGGCTTATTGTTTTGGCTATGGAATGGATTGCATAAATTCCAAAAAATGAATTCGTGATTTAAATGCTATGTTTATATTGAGTTTAATATATGTTATTTCGTATAGCCTCAAATGAATTATTGCGATCTGAAACATGTGTATAAATCTTTTTTCAGGTTGCCGCCTTCCAGCCATTTTTTAGATCTCATTCTCATATTGACACGAAACGCAGAGAGCCATGGTTGTTCTCAGATAGCACAAAATTACTAATCCGGCAAGCGATTCGAACTCGTTATTCATTCTTGCCTTACTGGTAAGTTTTTGAGTCATGCTGAAAAAGACTTTGTTTTTTGTTGATAGTGAAATTGAAAACTGCAGAACCCTAACTAGAATACCAAAATTCTTCATCTTTTGTACTGCATTATTCCTTCTGGATTTTTGATGTTATTTTATCTTATTTTACTGTACGAATATTACGGATAGCGCTTTTGAAAAGTGGCTTTATCTTATCTGGAACTTCTGTTGCATTCCATTATATATTTTAATAACAAATCTTCTGTACATCTATTGACTTTTTTAATATGTATTCTGATATTTTAATGGTATTATAGGTACACTTTGTTTTACGAACATACTCTTAGCGGAAAACCACCAATGAGACCATTATGGAGCGAATTTCCGGACGATGAAGATGCATTTGATGAGGAACGTGAGTGGTTATTAGGTCCCGGCTTACTTGTGCGTCCAGTGATGGATCCAGATGTTCAGTCCGTCTCATTGTATTTGCCGGGTAAAAAAAACGTTGTATGGTATGGATGGCATGATCACAAGGTGTGATACCTTTTTCTATCATTTTTCTACAACCTTTATTATTCTAGTTCATGTAAAAGCAAAAAAGGAAGAATTCTTATCCATAATTAAATACTATAATGATAATATAATAAGAAGGTTCTTGTAAATTTCAAATCCATTTTAATGTTAAGTTTGATGACTTCTTTTCTTCAGGGTCGTTTAGCTCCTGGTGCTGTTTACGTAGATACACCACTCGATATAATACCATTATTCCAGCGAGGTGGTACTATCATTCCAACATGGGAAAGAGTACGACGGGCTTCATCATTGATGTTTCAGGATCCCGTTACTTTGTATATTGCAATCAATTCTGATGTAACTTTTTAATCAAATTTACGTGTATGTGTTTCGCAAGCAAGTCCTATCGCTGTAATATTTTCGTCCTGTAGAATCCCAATCTTTTCTTTTAAAAGCTTTTTAATGGCGATACTTAGAAATGTAATCTTTCACAAAACTTCTGCAATGTTCTCGAAGGTAAGGAAAGCAGTTCATTCATTTTCAATATAAATTCATATGTATATTATCTTAAATCTCGTGAAGCGTTTCATTGTATGAATATTTGTGTTTTATATTTTGATTGCTTACAAAAATTTTGTAGGGTGATTATGCAAATGGAACAATTTATATGGATGATGGAGAGACATTTGATTATAAAAATGGCCAGTATTTCTACTGGGGTTTTATCTACAAGAAAGAGGGTGATCAGTTACATTCAATTTCATCGAAGAATTTGGATAAAGGAGGAAAATTAGAAAGTGATGCTATTATTGAAAAGATGATAATAAGAGGTGTTCGCTACTATCCAACGAACATTCACATTTATTTAGATGGTATCCATTTTTATATTTATTTTTATATTCTCAAGTCGAAAATTAGTAGTAGTCGCTTGAAGCGTAATTTATTTTCATTGCAATATCGCTCCTTTTTAACTCCTCTTTAGACTGGAATCCAGAAACTGCTGATTATACGCATGATCGCGATGCGCAAACCTTAATTATTCGAAAACCAAATGCTCTCTTAACGCAAGAATTCAGAATTGATATTCATATGTAATGGTGGATTGATCCTTATATTCCAGTTTTTATGGATCGAAATGTATAGGATCGTTTTACGTGAAATTCTTTACAGTCCGTTTTGCTGGTAGATATTCTTACTAATTTTGAGAACAAACTGTAATTTGCTATGTGTTATGTTATTTGTAGAGTTTCTGGGTATAATTTCTCGTCAGTTAGACACTTAATTGTTGATTTAATGCTTCAATTTATTACCCAACTGTTTTTCATCTTATCTCTTTTTAGCCTTTTAAATTCCAAAAATTTAAGTGACTTAAATTTCGGGTAAAGTAATATTTCGGAGAGTACACTTACCCTAATGTCTACTTCGAGATGACGAATACTGCCGTGTCCTTTATTGCCGTCAGTATTATACGAACGGCGATAAATATACTACTAGTTAGTTTCAGAAGTATTTCTGATATACACATTTCTGGTTTGTAATTAAAATATCTTGACAGCACGCGTTTATTGTTGTTGGTGCTGTGTAACTGTGCTCTTTTCAAGAAATTTTATTAATTTTATTTCCTTTTATATCTGGAATACGCATGAAGTAAACGTAAACATTAGAGAATTTAGGATATTTAAGTTCTGAACATTGCAGAAATGTCTTGCATTGACTGCATCAAATGTTGTCTAAGTCGGTGTGAATCCTGCAACATACACAGAAACTAAAAAATCATTGCAGTGGACGATACCGAGATAGTTCATCATTACTTCTTCATATATGAAATTATAATTGATGGTATTGCAGTGAAATTCTTCAGAGGATTATGATTTGACATTCTGTTTCGTGTCACGTGAAGGGCCAGGATTACTCCAAAGGGAGTCTTGAGTTTGGTTCATTTCTACTTCGTATAAGGTCTTCAAGGCCATAGAACGTGCATGCGCTTGTACAGCTGTGTTGAGAAATAACGGATAAGAAGTGAAGTCGAAAAAATTAAGGAGCTGAAAACGGATTTAGCTCGCAGGAAATTCGAACTTTTAGGACATTTTAATGATTTAGAGTTACAGCAATCGTTAGAGTAATTTGATTAAAGAGATGAACGAACCGTATTTTTGGCAGATTTATAAGAAGCGATGTTTATACATATTGAATGATTGCCAGCGAAACGATAACTGATGCCATATCCACTTTTACAGGTAGCCTGGAACCCACCGCCAAACCAAGAGAGGTTGGGATACTCATCTTCATTTATTTGGCGTGTCACGTTCGGTGTCTATAGTGATGATTTTAATTTTAAGAATAAAATGATATCTGATTTGATCAGTATGAGAATCAGTTTATGTACAATTTTTTGTTTTGATATACTTCAGACTGGAGAACAGTTTTCAACATATAATTTGTGTATTTTTTGGTCTTAATGATTTAATGAGAGAATGCTCAGGAATGTTACTTTTTTCTAATTCAGAATTAGAATATTACCTGACTGGTACTGAGTTCCCAAGGTTGAGTTATATAGTAGTCCAACAATGAACTGTTTATGCCAGTCATCTTACTTAAAATATAAAGAACAAATAAGTGTCGGTCAACACCACTTCCAGTTAAGCATTCCTTACTGTGAAATACGTGGACTTTAGCTGCTGTCTTCAATAATTTAAGACGCTCTTCGCTCTGAAATCATTATGCAAGTATATATGTTAAAACAACTTCAAGTTTAAGTGGAAGCTTACGTTGCTCTCTGTGCTGATCATTGACTTAACAAATGCACACGATTCTTTTGTTACAGGACGTAATGTTTCTGTTCTTGAGTTTGCGTAAAATCTTGCTGATATTGATTCATAGGTCAGACAAAATTTGTTTTGATCCTGAAATAACGTGCCGAAATTTTTTTTTTTTTAAAATGTACTTATCATAATTATTGGGTTTTAAAGGATAAACCTTTAAACAATCAAGGAAAAGATGATGAACTCTTACTGTAATCAGCTAGTTCTTTCACTGTTAGTAGTAATTACTAAGAAAACCAACTTTGAAGCTTGCTAATTGTATAGCCATTTGAATAAATGCATCAGGTGAAATGCCAACTTTTTTGATAAAGCCTTTACCAAAATCACGGAAAACAAGACAGGCAACGTCGACATCATTAATTTGTTCCTGGTAACTAGCATAACAACGGTTAATTTCTGCCTTCATCTAAATGATATTTTAAATCTGAGAATTATGCACTAGAAATATTGGGAAAGACGAGAGCAGAGTTCCTTCATATTTAATTTTTAATGCATTCTATTTTAATAGATTTTAATACATTCTATTTTAATATCTCAAGAGAAACTAAACATATGGCAAAGCTATCAGTGATATTCTCATAATTGATAGTATAAAAATCGAGAGTGGCTTTTTATTTTCAAAACTGTTCAAAGCCTTTACCTGCTCGTTAATATCAAAATTCAATCGAACAGCATATTTTTCCATTGAAGAAAGATTGTTGGGACGTACTATCTCCTCTACTTCTTTCGGATACCTGTAAATTGTGCTTCATAAACTTAATGACAAAATAAAAGAGTAAGGAATGAGTAGGACAAACAGAACAAAGGGATGAAATTGCTTATGTAAAAAGATGAAACTTAACGAAAGGCGTTGAAATCTGAGGAAAGATAATTTTCAAAAATGTAAGCAAATTCTGCTCCATCGGCAACTGAGTGCTCTGTTGTTCCACCACCCTAAAAAGTAATTGTGAGACGAATAAATTATATTTATATGTTCAATAGATTATATGTTCAGTCTTACTGTCATTCTTTCTCACCAACGCATTTATCAAAGAGTACAGAAAAGATTTACTCTATGCTTTCACATACTGTAGCGGTTGTGAACTTATCACACTTCCCTTTCTCATTTCTGAATTTTTAAATAAGAATAAGGATAACTAACTCTTCCATTATTAGAAATGACATAATTTAATGATTTGTCCGCCCAACGATTCCTTCCATCACCAGTTAACATATTTTTGAAGAAAATTTCGAGCTCTTCCTACAGTAAATAAATCTGTACATAAATGTGAGCACACTAAATAAACACACATTTTGAGTAAAATTCCTACCGGATCACTGTTATAATTAGATTCATCAAGGATTAAATAGAAAATAGCGGATTCTATCAGTGCCAAAGAAGCGCGATTTGTGGCATTTTCTAGAAAAAACCGACGACGATTCAAACACCATTGATTTCGATAGTCAGTCGTCAACGCCGCGATTCGTCCTTCTACTTCTCCAATGCTTTCCTTGCGAGTCAGCAATTCCGAAAATATTCTTAAATGAAGTGTAGGAGTATGTTTTATCAACACGGAAAGTGAAACTCTCTGTGTCCATCAATCAATTAAAATAGAAATTAATTAGAAGCAGAAAAATTTTTTCAAAATTAAATTTCTACGTCGAGTAATTTAGGATTTGTATAAATATTATATGTAATTTGACTCACTCAGTAAGTTCTTTCAAATCAAAAATACGACCATTTTCATCAAAAACATTCATTTTATAAATGCAACCTCGGTAATAAACAACGATATGACGTGAAGTTCCACAGTACACTTCCAAATGATCTGAAATAAGTGGCAGGTATGAACAACTTGCCCAAATTTCTATAGAAGTTGGATAGAGATCAAAAGCAAAAATCTTACAGATTGAGTGCTAACTATTTTAAATAATAAGCATAAAGCATTACCCATAATCTCTCCCGGTACTCGTGTTGTTGCATAGCACTTCCAAAGATGTGATAAACTAATGACTCCGCCAGCTATCTATAAAACTTTTAGACTTTTAATGAATAAACAAACAAAATTGCGTCTAAAACTATGTTTTGTTCACTTAAAAGAAACCGATTCGGTTAAAGTCATACAACGCTGCTTACCTACCTGTAATTTCTTAATTTCTCTGCATTTCTCATCAAAACAGATTGATAACAAAGTCAGAAGAAAATGTGATGGCAGGACATAAACATTCTAAATACTCTGTTAATATTAAGATATTAAGAATGACAAATCATTAAGTTGTTTTGATGTGATTAGTTATAATCTAGACCATCTTCTAGCAATATTTAAAATCGATTTTAAGTTTTGGCTATCAATTTTCATCGCAGTAATCTTTGTATGGAACCATTTCACTGACTTCGTCACAAAAATTTCTAATTTTTTATGATTAATAAATGTTAAAATTAAAACTAAATCTGTTCCCTCACAATTCATCTTTGCGTCAAGGCCCTAACATGAAATAAAGATAATATTTTTGATGAAAAGAAATAAAGTATTAATAAATAAGCTTTTTCATCTTTTTCGCTCTCATTTTTCCTTTTCTCTAATCTTCAGCAGAATAATTTTCTTATTGAAGAAGTATTTTTAAAGAAATCATTTTTAAAACTGCTGCAATAAAATAAATGAGAACATCTTACAGGTTGTAGAGATTCCTGATCAATCGATAGCATGCTTAATGTTTCCAGCAGCACCACATGGGCTGCTCGAACAGCCTGATTCGCAGGTACATTGACGAAAACATCCTTAAATAATTTATCGTTGTGGTATTCGTTATAATTTCAGAATGAATGTGCATAAGTCCTATGATATCGATAAATTTGTGATTGAAGTTTCTATTTTACTTTGTTGAAACTTATTTTGTGTGAACTGAGAGGACAACCTTTTTCTTTTCTTTTCCACAAATTGATTAACAAAAGAACTAACAAGATGCGCAACACTGCTATTTATCAAAATGCCTTTTCTTGAATAGTGGTAAGCAAATTTCTCCCAGAAGCTAGTGACCTGTAAAACTGATCATTTTCTGGCTTTTCTAATTGAAGCATCTCAATGATGTTTGATTTTTATATGAATTTCGCCTAGCCTTACTTTAATCTCTAATGAATATATTATTTGCTTTGCTTTCATTCTGGTAAATAATCTGTTTTGTTTCTTTCCTTAATTCCAACTATTATACATATATTTATACATATATATGCAATTAATTTACATAATTGTCAACAAAGCACCAATAGAGCCATGCTAATCCTTGAAGTTTCCATCCTTCGTTTTTTAAAAAATTTTCAGCCATGTTCTTTACATTCGTAAATTCTTCCTATGAAAAAATTGAATTGAGAGTTCATAATTAAAGCTTATTTATTGTTAAATTTCTAAAAAATTTTCTAATAAATTGAAGAAATAAATTGTTTTTAATTTAAAATAAATTTTTTAAAAAAAAATAACTACTTTTTATGTATGGAGCATAAAAGAATACTAAATATTTTTTCTTCTTTGGTACAGTTTTTCTGCTTAATCGTTTAAACTTAATGCAAAATGAAACCACTTATTTTAAATTCATGTTTAGTTTCAAAATTACTGTTGAATTAAAATACTTGAAAAAATTGCCTGATGAAAAATTTCGAAATGAGGAAAAAATGAATAAGTAGAAAAAGTTGCAACAAGAAAACATCTCAATTAGGTATCTACAATCACTGAGGCTATTAAAAGCCATCTTTCAAGGTCTCCACAATTTTATTGAATCCTAAGGATTTCTATGACAGAATGAACATCAGAATGTTTCTTAAAAATGAGTTAAAAAGTAATGAAATACTCAACAAATCGAAAAGAAACTCACAGAGCTCAGCAAAGGTTCCACACTGTTAAGGTACCTGGCGATCGTACCTTTAAGCGATGGAAGCGGTAAAGTTGGCAGTAATCCTTCACACGAATACAGTTGTGGTGATAATTTATTGAATAAATGATGAAATATCTGAAAAGTTATTTCCTGGCAACAAAAAAATTATTCAGAGTCAACCAATTGACTAGCAAAATGAAATGTCCCGCAAATTTTGCATGAATATAAATTGCGTAATAAAGTTTCAAAATGAGGCAATAAGTTACAAAAAATTTGTATCAAAGGAAAATAAAGCAGTTTTAGGAAACTTACAAACCACAATTTTGTCGAAAGGGAATAGTTTCCTTCTTCCTCGAATAGATATCTTTTGTAACCAAAATATAAATGTTTTATGGTAAATCTGAGCAGCAGTACTGGTAAATACGTACTCATAAAAGCGATCTATGAATTTAAAAATTTTTAAATTATGGAATTATTTTGTCACTTTAAATTTTTGGAAATTCTAGCTCAGTAATTACAGAAATTTAAAGGTTCAAATTAAGATCAAATTAAAAAAAAATTAAAATCATAGTATTGACCGATAAAATATTGAGAATAATTGCAGTCTGTTCATGAAGTATTCCTGGCAAAATAATCATCAAATATTGTTTTGGTGGATTTCTATATAAAAGTGAAGCAGTCACTATGAATATTGTTGAAAACAAAAATGGAGAAATGGGATAGAGGCGATTGTGAAGAGCGTTCTGAAATTACTCAATATCATAACTAATAAGAATTGCAACCCTTTAATTAAAAGGATTTGAAATCAGAATCAAATTCAGTATTTTCGAGGTCTAAAATTGCAAACTTGGACTTGAAACAGTCAGCAATATTAACTTTAGAATCTTCAACATTATGTGAAAATTCGAATGAATGGATTTTTTTTTTCACTTATCAGCATTTTTCACTCTCTCGCATTTTAAAAAACAAAAAATTACTTTGAATCGATAACAGTTACGTTTAAATCGATTTGGGAAATAGACATTATAATAGTGAGATTTCGGGTTACGTGAAATAATCTTCTCCATTGCCTAAATTATGTTGAAATGAGGTTTCAAATTATCCAAAATTTTACGCGAGAAAAATGAGACTGTTTGCGATTGTAATTATGCTAATTGTATTATATGCTTTTGTCGCAGAAAAGAATTGTACTTCTGTCACAAGCTGCAAGAACTACAGCTATCATTGATTTGTTGAAATGGTATGGCTCTTCGCAGATATTCAGAGAACTAAGAAAGTCTATCAAATTCGCTCCAAAGCAACGATTCAGTTCTCGAGGAAGTCACCTGTTAAACTTTATCTTTCCAGTTTGCTTTAAGTGTCCAAGACTATACCCTGACGTCGAGTTATTTGAGAACTTCTTGTGCATGTATAAGAGAATCAATTTCGATCATTACTTTCAGTTGTCAACTTCTGATCACATGATCACTGCAATGGCCAAACCCTCATTTCAAAGACTCTTTTCTCCTCCTTGGACGAATACATCATCGTTGCATGAGTTATCGTCATTTTGATTCTTTTTACGATTTGTTGTCAGTCTATTATCTATTCATAGCAAGGAATACGTTATTAATAAGAAATTATAAGAGAAGAAATGAGCAATAAAATGACATATAATAGAGTGATGCTTAGTTGAAACAACAAAATTGAAGTATGCAAAATTCTAACTACTCCTGCTAATTTAATTATTCATATCAATTGGTCAGTGAATACTATTACCTCTCAATTCTACATGAGATAATTTGATATTATGATGCAGCAGATTGCTGATAAAGGAATAATATTAGTGTGAAATGAAATACATAAATGTAATGTAAATACATCAATGTAAAATGTGTTCATTTAAATACAATCCGGCGTTGCATACAGCAGAAATGTAATAGTACTGGTTCAAAAGACCAATGTACGATGTCCCAATTTGAACGACTCAACATTTACGAGAATAAATATCAACGATACCACTCTAGGCGGTCCAAAGTGCTCCAAGTTGTAATGTGATTACGATTTGAAAGTTTTAGAAACTGTTGCTGCCTATTCTCTAGCTGTCTAACTAATAAATTTATATTAGGCCGCAAGTATCTCAGGTATCAATTCGAGAAGTAAGCAGTTATTGTTCTAGTTTTATAGTGAACAGATTTGTTGCACTAAAAATGTCAACTTAATGCATTTAAACAAAAATCGAACCAACCGATCAGACAGACGCTATTTATTGCCTTTCTCCCTATCTCATAACTTATCATCGACAAATTTATGTCATTCAGATTTCTATGCTTCTGTAATGAATGGCCTACAGTTTGCTGATGATTATTTAATATCGTGAGGTTTACAGACTATTTTCTAATATTATGAGGTTTATATGCCTGGCTTAGATCGCTTTATCATAGAAATCAAGCATCGTAGTGAAGAGGTTTACGGTCACTCACAATCATTGATTAGTCAGAAAAGGAACGAAGTGGGAGCAGGACTTGAAAGACCCTAGAATTGACAAACATTCCTCAAATCACCAGTACGACCACCGTCCCTCACCACGCAAACAACCCACAAATCTAGAAATTAACCCAACCCGTAAATCTCACTCCTTGCTAATTTAATTAAGGTACAGTGTGTGTCAGGTCCACCGTCTTGGTGGATCAATCAGTCATCACCGACGTAACAGATGTCCCTATCTGTTTCATCATTCACACACTTCTAGGACTCGAACCCTCTGTCGCCATCTTCAGTACCGCGCATCCGACCACCCCACCACTCTCCATGAGAGGTGAGGTTTCCTTTATGGCATTTCATATAGTCGCGGAAGGAGCAAATGAAGTATAAGGAAAGCACAAGAATGAAGGATGTTTTGAGTTTAATGCAATTAATGTTGTAAGCTGAGAAGGGATAGAACTATTGGAAATTATAGAAATCTCATTTTCCGCTTGGGAAATTTCTCATTTTCAAAATTGAAGTAAGTTGTTGCTTATAGTTTATTAAAAACCTTTAGCAAATCTACTTTTGAAAATTCAGAGCGATAAGCACAAAAGAAGTGCTGCCGCTGTTCATAACGGGAAACTGGTTTCCTTGGGATCTTGCAGGAAGTCATAAAATGACGATTACACCGGATAAGGGATCAATTTTATCTCTTCATGAACTTTAATTCAAGGAATTCAAAATGACACAACAAGAATTTAATAGTTCTTCGATGCAGTTTCAAATCTCTCTGACCAAAACTAACCACTGATAAAATCTATTGATAAACGACTTTTGAATTGCTCTCAATTTATACTAAGGAATAAACATAAAATGACTTTCAGAAATTATTCGATCATTTACATTAATCACTTCATTTAAACAAATAAATCTCTAAAATAATAAAAAGAACAGGAAAAGGGCATGTAGTACCTACCGATTCAACACATTTCAAAAGTCAGGCGAATCGAAAATAAGTCCGCACTCCTTTCATCAGGTAAAAAAAAAAAAATGTCACAAAAACTTTGTGGATGATTTTTTGACGAAAGATCAACATAATGTCATGTTAACATCTCTCACGAGCACTTTTCTATCACTACTACATCATTAATATGAAATGTTGAAGTGTTTTTAATGAAAACTTGTGATGGAAAGTATTTTTGATGCACAAACGTTCGATTTTAGTTAACAGTTAACACCATAAGCGCATAAAAAAGTTCAGTATTATTACTAGTTAAATATTTTATCAAAATGATAACTTATATAATTTCAAGATTGGTCAGTGAGTGTTTTCATCGAGATTGTTTCAGTTGCAAAGGATTAAATATATTCTAAATGAACAATGAGATGTTATTACTTGAAGTATACTGAAAGCAGTAAGCTTTTGAAGGAATAAATCATCAAAGAAAAGTCATTTGACTCTCCTTGCATTATTAAAAACAGTTAAGCGAAAAGATCCCGTAAAAAGCGACCATGACTATCATTTATAAGGTTACCTAATTAACATTATCATATTTATCGTCATTGTATGATCAGTGTTAAACCTTAAATATTATCAGTATATCACATCATCATCGTCATCACTATCTTACTTTTATCAATACTATGCAGAGTCTAAGACCACTTATCGGACACTGAAATCAGATCGCACGTTGTCATTTTAAAGATATTCACGAGTATTAGTAGTGAGTTACTGGCTGCTAATAGTGTTATCTGTATTGTCATTGTAATAATCATCAATATTGGGTTCCAGTTGTGACAACATTTTTCTTCACTGTTATCAATATCAATATGTCATTTCTGTCGCCTGTTATCATTGTTATCATTAAACCACTGCTACAGATCGTTATAAAATGAAACATGTTTAAGAGATATGTATGTGTATGCATGTGCAGTTTTTTGTTGGCTTTGTAAAATAAACACAATCATCGCTGACAAGTTTTGTCATCTTTCACTCAACAATGTTAACAAAAATCTCTTATTGAGAGATGAAGTTGAAATTACTACCAAATGCTTTCCCACTGTCTCATTATTTGACGATATCCTCTGCTAGCTTCTACTTTCGTTTCAATTAAAAAAAAGTTACGGGACTTTTCATTTCTTAAATATTTTAATAAATCATAGCATGAACTGATTATTAACAAATGTTCTTCTACTGCTCATTTATCTCACAGTAATGAGAATATAAAGAAATGATTCATGTTGATTAAGATCGAAAGAGCGATTACAGGTATTCCGGAATGGCAGCGATGATCCTTAAAGCACTCCATAACTGAGCGTGAACAATTCTTTACTTTGTCAAATTGGCATTTCGGTGAAATAATCCCTTCAATTTTTCACAATTAATTAAAATTATTTCGAACCATTCATTTTCTTGAAAATTAATAATATTCCATTACTGTGACAAGAAATTTAATTTGCCTTTAATGCCGAAAATATATTTTTCCGATTTCATTTTGTTTCCTCGCGAAAAGTGCAGGTCATCTAAATATTTGTGCTGGAAAAATTTCTGAAACAATTTCAGGAAATTTTTGTTCCCACAAAATTTTATTTAAAGTGATCGTATTGTTTCAATAACTTGATGAACCTGTAGGTATAAGTAAGATACCTATACTATTAACAACTCAATTTAAAAACCCAGAAATAGAGACCTCTCAAATAATCTGTGAAAGTTTTGAGTTCTTTAGACCAAGTTGTACTAATTAAAACTAACAAAATTCTTATCCTACTACAGTGTTATTCGGTCCTCGTGGATGACACCAATAAATCAAAATATCCTTCCAATCTTTGTTTAGCTTTTCTATTTTAATGTTTTCAGTTTAAATAACGCCTAAATACTAATAGCAATAAATCAAGAATGAAAAAAAAAAGCGGTTATTATATTTCTTGCTAACGATTCCAAACATCGTTTTCTTGACTTATTCTGGTAAAGTTTTCCGGAAGAGTATATTATACCAATTAAAAATTGTCAAAGACTGTAGACTATTCTTAGCATATCACAATGGAAGTAATGCATTTAAAAATGAAATCTTAAAGCAAAATGAGTACGACATAAAAATGAAAAAAAAAAAATCAAACAAATAATGAACCACAAATGTAAATGATGATATGATTTAGAAGAATGACTGAAATCCAGCAAAACCTTAACAACTTGTCTATTTAATTTTTTACTGATATAATTAAAGATTTATGATAGCAATCGATTCTAAAACAAAAATTAATAAAGAAGATTAAGCATAAAAAGTATCTTATTCATCATAGTCCATGTCATAATTAATAAAACTTTAGAATAACTGTGTGATAATTTAGCAGATCATTTAAACACTTTACGTCAACAGACGTGAATCGTATCGTTTCACACTCGTTATTCTCTATTTAACATCTACTTTCTGCTTTATTCAATCTACTGACTGCATAAACAATTACAATAAGACTCAATATAACTCTCTTAATTTCTAGTGGAAAATTAATTAACCATTTATAAAATTGTGGGCTGGTATTTCTATAAGAATGAGCTACTTTAATACCATTTTAAATAAATCATAATACTTTCCAACCAGAGCTCACAATAATAATTCGCTTCTTGACTACAGAGCTGTAGTCAAGAAGCGAAAGACATATCTGTAGAACTTAATTTCGTTAGTGTAAATGTCAGCTATTCTCAATATTTTTACCTTCGTTGCAGATAATTCAGAAAATTGAAATTGCAACCTACCACAATGTCGGAATACGAGAGCAATCCTGGTTGGCAATATTTACGTCAACGACAACAGCAGGTAGATTATTCTAGGTTCACGGAAGATTAAAGTCATCATTATATCTCTCAGATTTCAGTTATATTTCCAGTTTTCTGATTCACATATTACCGTGATTACTGTTACAGTAAAATGCCTATTGATTTAACTGGGTGAAATTTGTGTTTCATTGAGGCAAATCTGAAATGTCTGACAGTATTATGTATGAATTAACCAAGCATAATTTTAGGTTCTGATAACATCAAAAAAATTTGATTCTAAGAAGAATGTTTGGGTGCCAGATGAAGAAGAAGGTTTTATTGCTGCCGAGATTAAATCAACAAAAGATGATTTTGTTACTCTTATCACTTGTAAAGGAGTTGAGGTTTGAAATTGGCAAATTTAAAAACATCCAAAATTGAAGAAAATAAATAAAATATAAGTTTTAAGAATATTCAGTACTATGGCTTACTTTCTTATATACACTCAGGTAAATGGATTCGTTCGTTTTTCAAATTTGAATCTTTTTATAATGTCAAATTTTGCCATGCATGTTCATCAAAGTGTAATTCTAATCACTTGGCACCTGCATATACCATTGAATGATTTTTTTTTTTTTTTTTTTACTACGAAATAATAAGAGATGAATAATAAAGTAGGACAGAAGTCAGATTCAATTTTTTAGATAAAAATTTATTTGCTTTTTTTTTGCGTAAATCGAGCAATTCGCAAATTCAGATTTGTATTTACGAATTTATATTCTCATTAAAGGGAAATGTTGTAGTGATATTGCATTTTCTTCTGAAAGCAAATTTCAGAAGACTTTGAAAAAAGATGAAACGCGAAAAATGAATCCACCAAAATATGAGAAAACGGAAGATATGGCGAATTTGACATTCTTGAGTGACGCATCTGTACTTCATAACTTACGTGAACGATATCTCTCTATGATGATATATGTAAGTTGGTTTTGTGATTTATCATTTATTAAAACAATGTTACGAATTAGTTGATTTTCAAAGCATTTAAACTTTTTGAGTGAATGCATCAATGAATAAATGTATTTAGTTTGAAATGATTCGACTGTTAAATGAATAACTGATTGGGTTAAAATAAGAATAAATTTGCAAGCCTTTTAAGGCATAGTTTTTTGCACTTTATCGTTACGCTATCAGCAAAAGCGGATGGCGTTTTAAATTTTATAGATGGTCTTGCTATACAGATTTAAGGTTTTGTTGCTTCCAGTTAAAGATTAAATATTTTTCCACATAATAATTAATCGCGCATTTTCCATATTTGATAAATGTTGTTGAAAGCTGATGGTTCAAAAATCTAGAGAGTTTTTGCTGTAGCAATTAACTGTTAGATGCAGTTTCATCCATTATTAATCAATAATTACTTTAAAGCAGCTCGGATAATGGCGAAAAGAATTGTTTGATGCAAAACGATTATTTTCGTGCAATCTGTTTGCTTTAAGCATTTCTTCTTCAACTTCAATTTTTTGCTAATGTAAGCTGAGCAAGGCGAAAAACTTCTTTAGTCTTTGATCTTTTAAAGCAAATGATGATTTTGGCTCAAGCAAAAACTTGACGGCAGGTCAAGCATTCCTAACATGATGACTGTTTATTGAAGGAAATAAATGCAAAATATGTAAAAGGAAGGTAGGAAGTGGCTAATCACAAAATGAGATGAAATATTTGTGTGCATAAAATTTAAATATAGACACTACCAATTTAATTGAATGTTTCTTCTGGTACTATTGCTAATATTTTTTTTTGGTTGTTTGCATTGTAAAATATTTGCAATACCAACTTTAATTTTGAAGTTTTTCATAGAATTTGTACACAAAAGAAAAAACAGAGAGAGAGAAAGAAAATTGAGATTTTTAAATACAAACCACTCAAATTCTAACAAGTATTTGCTAATAATTCATCCCTATGCATTTTGGTGTTTAAGTAAATCCTGTTTTTTTTGCGATAGATGAGGAATGCAATGGAGTAAAGCAATTGCAAAACGAAATAAAAACTTGGGTGTTGGAAAGTCCTAAAAAAATTTTAGAATAAATAAAAAAATTGTTGAATCTAGCAAAGGAACTGAATAAAAGAGATAGTACTGTTATAGTTTTGTGTTAAAGATAAGATAGCTTAGCTTCTCAATGTAATTACAAAATTGCAAACGTTAGTCTGCTAAAAAAAAAAAAAAAAAAACAATAACCTTAAAAATTAGCACTAAAAGCCTCAAGATTGCAAGATTTAGCGTGAAATTTAAAAAACATTAAAGAAATCTAACTAATAATATGAAAATTTAATTCTGATAAAAATTTTCAGAATTATTTGTCTAAACTTTTCAGACCTATTCAGGCCTATTCTGTGTGGTCATTAACCCCTACAAACGTTTACCAATCTATACTGAAAATATTTGCGAAATGTATATTGGAAAACGGCGCAGTGAAATGCCACCCCATCTATTTGCTGTTTCTGACGAAGCTTATAGAAATATGATTAACGGTAATTTTCAAATAAGCGAAAAACATAAGATACAGAAAAGAAATTTTTTCTAAAGTTTTTCGAGAAGAAATTATTTCAATAATTATTTCCCTAATAGCATTAATTGTTGTAGTGATTTTTATGAAGAAAATCTGTGGTGATCAGAAAAACTGAGATGGCTTCTCCGATAGCAAATTTAGAAATCTTAATTACAGTAGCATCCGTACGATTGAATATTCATCAGTCACTTCTAAAAATTAAAAAACTTATAGACCATAGAAATCAGTCAATGTTAATCACCGGTGAATCAGGAGCGGGAAAAACAGAAAATACAAAAAAAGTTATAGCCTATCTTGCAATCGTTGGTGCACCACATCTATCTAAGTATGTTTCGTTTCAAAGTTAAAATCAATTTTTACCGGTCATTTGCTTCATTTGTTTATTTCATTAACAAAAACAGCTTTCCCAGTCTCAAGCGCATTTAAGAGTATTATTTTATTTATTAGTGGAAATCAGAGAATAGCAACACGTACGTGAACATTTAACAATTTTAATTATTAGTGTTCTCAAACTGTGTCAGTTAAATTATGGTCAGTAGTAACTTTTCTGTTTGCTTAACAAAATTGGAGTTTGAAATACGTAGTTAACAACAATCATTTTCTATCATTTGCTATTATTAATCACTATATCAGTATATCAAATAACCAATCTAATGTTGGATTTTGGAATTGAAATTTATAACTGTTTTAGCAAATCGGAGAAGAATAGGAGAGAAAATGCTTCTTCTATTGAAGATCAAATTGTTCGCACTAATCCGGTACTTGAAGCATTCGGAAATGCGAAAACTGTGCGGAACAATAATTCATCTCGTTTTGGGAAGTTCATTCGAATTCATTTCAATGCTGGCGGAAGGCTTGCTGGAGCTGACATAGAACATTGTAATCATTGTAAAATATCACAGTATAATAATCCTACAAAATTTAAACATTTCATAAAAAGTGCATTGGAAATAAATAATTAATTTCAAAAATATTACTGTTAAAAAAATTACTTTCTTTGTCTATTCCATTCTAAATTTACTTGTTGTGAAATCAATTTTATACAAAAAGAATCAAAAATTTCGGCATAAATCTACATGCTAAACAATTAAGGTTGGTTACTTGGCCTTTCGAATACATTCTGTATCATACTTCTAGCAGAATTTTTCCTTTCATTGAAAGAATCGTGTTTATTTGTTTTATTTCCGCAAATATATTCTCAAAATTTTAATAATTTTCTTAAATTGCAGATCTGTTGGAAAAATCTCGAGTCATCAAACAAGCCCCGGGAGAACGATGTTATCACATTTTCTATCAGATTATGTCTGGTCAGATTGCAGGATTAAAAGGTGAAAAGAGCTTTAGTTCAATTTTTTCCATCAAATCTGCAGAACTCATAATCGGTGCAGCATTTTGTATTCATTCTTAAAATTTTTTGTAATTAACTTCATTGGAGAACAAATTTCCTGGCCGAATAGCTGAAGAGTTTCACTTTGATTGCAGAAAAGTTGTTTCTAACACGTGAAATAAAGGACTATCACTTAATTTCTCAAGCTGAGGTGACTATCGATGATGTGAATGATAAGGAAGAAATGCGGATAACTGATGTAATTGATGATTTAATTCATTATATAATTTCCAATATATTTTCTATCTAATTTCAAGTGCTAATTTAACAAGAATTAGATAATTTTCGAGATTATTTGAGATTTTTGTTTTTCTACTTATAGATTACTTGACTTATTGAATTAATGAGTTCTGTTAGAAGTGACTTCTACTTGTTTTTATAGGAATCATTCGATATCATGCATTTTACCGAACAAGAAAAACAAGATCTATTTGCTTTGGTGGCAGGGATTATACATATGGGTGAAATAAAATTCAAACAGCGGCAAAGGGAGGAACAAGCGGAATGTGAAGATCATCAAGGTGACCGAATCTAATGAAACAATTTGAAGTTTTAGGGATTTAATCAACTTCCTACTTTCTGCTTGTTATAGTGCAATCACCTTCCATTAACAGATTGCAATGCAGTATAGTACTCTTTTTGTTTGCAGAGTTCTTAAAGACAAATGGTTCAGGAAGGGTAGGAAAACTTTGATAAATTAATGACTTAACCAGTGATGAATGATAAATAATATATTGCAGAAGGTGATTTGGCTTGCAAATTATGGATGGTTAATACGAACAATTTCATATCTTCATTATTAAAGCCTCGTGTTAAAGTTGGACTTGAATGGGTGAGCAAGGGACAGAATCTTGAACAGGTCACATCTTTCGCAGTTCTTTACACTAATTATAATAAATCTCAACTCCTGTTTATTTCCTAATGAAAATGAATTTTAGGTGAACTGGGCAGTAGGAGCACTAGCAAAAGCAATATATGCTCGAATGTTCGCTTGGCTAATTAAGAGATGTAATAAAACGTTAGACGCACAAGACCGCAGTCGTGATTATTTTATTGGAGTGCTCGATATTGCCGGTTTTGAAATTTTTGATGTAAGAAACTTGAAGTTTAATATTCTAATCTTTTCCAAACATTTGTTTACTTATTATCATAGCCAGATTTTGGGGAAGAGAATTGTTAAAAATGTAACTTCTTTTCAGTTTAACTCATTTGAGCAATTATGGATTAATTTTGTAAATGAGAAGTTACAACAATTCTTCAATCATCACATGTTCGTTCTGGAACAACAAGAATATCAGCGTGAAGGAATTCGGTGGGAATTCATCGATTTCGGTTTAGACCTTCAAGCATGCATCGAACTCATCGAAAAGGTATAAAATATTTACGAAATTATTATCCACTGAATCACTGAATCAGTCCTATTCAGACTAACAGTTTGTATTTCTACTTCTACCTCTAGTCAATTTCAAATCAAACTATTCTCTTCTATTTGCAAACAAACTTCATACTTTCTGATTTTTCTTTAAAAAACTATGATTTTCAGTTATTAATATTATTTGATTTTGAATAATTCATTTCAAGCCACTTGGCATCATTTCAATGTTGGATGAAGAGTGTATTGTACCAAAGGCATCTGATTTTACCTTGGCTCAAAAAGTTAATGATCAACATCTCGGAAAGCACCCGAATTTTCAGAAGCCTAAACCACCGAAAGGAAAACAGGTTTGTGATTGACTAAAAGATAGGAAATAACATATAAATAATGAACTTTCAGTTTTCTGAAAATCTTCAAAAAGTCCTAATTTCAAAAAAAAAAAAATCTCATTTGTAGTCATGAAAATACGATAAATGAGGAACTTATCAAAAATACGTAATCAATTCGAATCATAAAAATCAGAATTTGCTAGTCATCCCATTTATTTTACAAACTAGACTAAATGATATCCCAGTAATTAATATTTTCAGGCTAGTGCTCATTTGGCCATAGTACATTATGCAGGTACGGTACGTTATAATGTAACGGATTGGCTAGAGAAAAACAAGGATCCTCTTAATGACACAGCAGTTGGCGTTTTGAAGGCAAATGCTGGAATGGTTTTGATGACACAAATCTGGGAAGACTACAAAACACAAGAGGATATGACTAATTTGGGTAGTGTATTTTGATTTTTATCGCTTAAATTTCTTGTTGATATTTGACGAACACTGAATGTTAGAATAAATTTTGGAAATTTTTTGAATAGCAAAATTTGTGACATTTTATTGACCCTACCACTTCTAGTTAGAAGTGTCAAAAGTAGTAAAGTCAATGTTTTCTGAAACTGATCTTTATTGGCTTAATGTGTAAGTTTTAGTCAAATTTCGTCTTTGGTTGCAATTTCTCATAATTACTTCTTTAAAAGCTCAAAGAACAATATAATACAGTTTAATCTCAAAATTCCTAAAAGTTGTAGCAAAAGAAGGCAAAACGAGCAGAAAGAAAGGTAAATCATCTTCATTTATGACAGTTTCAATGATATATCGAGAATCGTTGAACAATCTGATGACTATGCTTTATAAAACTTATCCACATTTCATCCGTTGCATCATACCAAACGAGAAGAAGCAGTCAGGTACTCCCATAGTTATCACATTCAAGACATTTCTAAATTTATGTCCTACGCAGAATCTTTGCCTTTCTCTATTTTTGAATATTTCGAATTTTTTACAGGTGTAATTGAAGCTTCACTAGTGCTCAATCAACTTATTTGTAATGGAGTACTTGAGGGTATTCGAATCTGCCGTAAAGGTTTTCCAAATCGCACCTTACATGCTAACTTTAAACAAAGGTGTCAAAAATTTCAAGTTTTGTTTTCTAAACGTAATATGTAATATGATGGATATCTATCACTCGAATTATTTTTTTAAATAAATTAATATTTAATTAATATTAATTAATATTAATTTATAACGATTAGTTCTATAAAAGGTCAACGAAGTTTTTTATAGTAGTAAGTTTAGTTCAAATAAATGCCTACTTCATTTCTGCATAATTATTTAATATTTGTTGAATTCTACAATGTGAATTAAAATTAGGTATGCTATCTTGGCCACTGAAGATGCATCTTCTGAAATTGATCTCAAGCAATGTGTTGTGAAAATGTGTGCAACACTAGAAAGAGTTGGGACTTTGAAACCTGAAGATTACTGCGTTGGAAATACCAAGGTTTTTTATGAAATTCGTTTCGAAGATGAAAACATCAAGAATGCCATCAAAACCAAGTTTTGGAAAAAACATCAGGAAAATGCCGGAAAATATCACTAAAGGACAAGAAATTTGAATTAGCAGTAAAATTCCCATAGCAAAACTCATTTATAGGTATTTTTTAAAGCTGGCATTTTTGCTCAACTTGAAAAGCTTCGAGATGAAGCTTTATCAATTATAATAACCAAATTTCAAAATGCATGCAGACACTATCAAGTTCAGTGTGATCTTCGCTGCAGAATGCAGAAAAAGTGAGTTTTTTTCCATACTGCTGTTTAAAATATGATTTAATCAGTTTCAGCAAATTTTAATTTTGAATTAAAATTTTAACTTGCTGTCATTGCCGTTTAGAGCTGCTGTTTTGTTATTGCAACGCAATATTCGCGTATGGTGCACATTGCGCAATTGGAATTGGTTCAAACTGTACGGTCTTGTCAAACTATTAATTAAAGGAAGCAAAAAAGTAAGCGAAATTATCAACAATGAACTAAATAGCATTCCATGCCATTTCAATAGATTTTGTGTTACAACGTGTTCGTCACTACATCTATGACACTTATCATTTGCTTCAATCGTATGCTTTGTTTCGCTTCTGCTAAAAATGAAACTTTCCTTCTACTTAATCACATACTGATGACAATGTCATAAAACTGCTTTCTCAGATAGCTTTAATGTGCATATATATGACACTTCTTTTTTTAATGTACTCAAGAAGAAAATGAGCATTTTATTGAATTTGTCCAATATTCAATAAGTGTTACTGGTTGAGGCACATTTTATGGCTTATGAAAAGTTCGTTTTTAAGAAATGAAAATTTTTTAAAAAAATTATTTCAGGATGAAGAATTTGAAGCATTGCAAAGAAAAGCGAAAGAATTGGAAGAGAACTTTAATCGCGAAAAACAATTGCGTAAAGACAAAGAATCAGAAGTGGTCAAGTTGGTAACCGAAAAACAGCAACTTTTCCTTCAACTTGAACAGGAGAAAGATATAAGTGCAGAAGGAGAAGAAAGAGCTGCCAAACTCCTGGCTCAGAAAATTGATGCTGAGAAACAGGCAAGAATATTTTTTTTAAACCAAGTATGTTCTTGCTAGCTTAGGTATGAAAGTTGATAGAAACCTCAATACTTGCAAATTTTAAATAGAAATTTAAAAAACGGATAACGTCACTTGTTTAAAAAAAGGCTTCGAAACTGCTTCTGTACTCAAATTCAAAAGGAACATTGAGCTACATATTCAGATTCGACGCTCTCCTTTAGCTGTAAATGTTATTTATCTTGTTATTTCAGAAATAAAGGCTAATTGATGATAGTGGAATTATGCTCACTTTTAATTTTACAGTTTGCCTGTGTAAAGGAACAGCTTGCTGAACAGGAAGATAGAAATGCAATTTTATCAGAAGTGAAAAGTAAGATAGAGTATGATAACGAAGTTCTGAAAAGTACAGTTGCTGAGCTAGAAGCGACTTGCAAAAAGCTTGACCAGGACAAGCAAGTTAAGGACCATCAACTCCGATCCTTGCAGGTTCATATTTTTAGTATTTTTCTTCTTACATGCCAATTCTTCTCTTTAAGATGAAATAAACTGTCCACAGAAATGAAGTTAAAGCGTCAGAATTCAAGATCATGTAAAATTCAAGAAGCTTTCATATTCTATGTTCTGTTTGTTTTGGATTTAATGTTGTGTTTGTTTTGAGGATGAAATAAAATCACAGGATGAAATAATTGCAAAAACTAGCAAAGAAAAGAAATGCCAAGAAGAGGTTTGCCATTAAAGAAATCTTCTTTAAGATTAATTAAAACTTTGTAAGGAATTTCTTGAATTCGAAATTAGTGCAATAATTAATACAACATTTAATACAAACATTTCTGATAATCTTAAGTAGTTAGATAACTCGGTCAAATAACAAACATGTCAAATAAGGTCTTACATTATCAAATGATCAGTTATGGTTCATTTTGCTACAGATAAGTCGTAAACTTCTGGAAGAAATTCAAGTTGGAGAGGACAAACTGAACCATCTGAACAAAGTACGGAATAAATTAGAGCAAACAATTGATGAGATCGAAGAGAATTTGGAGCGAGAACGACGAGTACGTCAAGACATTGAGAAATCAAAACGTAAAGCTGAAGGGGAATTAAAAATTGCTCAGGAAAATGTCGAAGAATTCATGAAACAAAAACACGAAATGGAAAATGCACTGAAAAAGTAAATAGTTTTTGTGATCAGTGCTTTTTGAGTATTAAGCCTGTTTGTATTAGTCATGTTAATACTGAAAAGAATGGAGCGCCTTGGATCATAACTTCAATATTTTGAGAAGGTAAATTTGAGTGCAAAAGAAGAATTTAATTTTACGGAAGCCTTTTTGAACTGATAAACTTATGGAAAGATTTCCAATGAAGTAATTTTGAAGGAAAGATACTGAAATAGCTTCAATGCTGAATCGTATAGATGATGAACAATCATCGGTAAATAAAATACAGCGTCAATTAAAGGAACAAATAGCTCGTTATCATGAACTTGAAGAAGAGCTTCAAACAGAGCGACAAGCAAAACTAAAGGTTAATCAATGGCTTTTTTCCAGAATTCTAAAATGGTCTGGAAAAACTTAATTCAATAACTTAATTGGTTTTTACAGAGATCAGTTATTTGCATCATAGAAAACATCATAACTTTTTTTTAATGCAACAGCGTAATAATTATCATGCAAAAATTAAATTTTTCGACTTAAATGTTAAAGCGATGTAGGAATGTGCATTATAATAGTCATAAATCATTCATTTTATAATTCTTCTACTTTTACCAACAAATATTTCCCGAAAAATTCTCACTTTTGTGACTTTGGATTAAATGTTTTAACATGAAAATACTGAAAGATCGAGAGAAGTCGCAGTGAAATGCAAAAGGAACTTGAAGAGCTTAGTGATCGTCTTGATGAAGCAGGCGGTGCAACACAAGCACAAATTGAATTGAATAAGAAACGAGAAGCAGAATTAGCAAAGCTCCGTCGAGACCTGGTTAGAAAATGCTTCTATTTCATGAAGTCTTTCCTATCTTTCGGATTTTCATTTTCCTAAAAAAATCAAATTTTTTCTGTAAACATATTTCTTATGAGCATAATGTGTTGCAAAATGACATGTTGAGAAGCTCATTTTAACTAGAAATATTAGAATTCGTCTAATGTGAGTAATTTATTTCAAATGCACCACTACTGCTTTTGTATTAAATATAACAAACGAATGAATAACTGCATAATTAACAGGAAGAAGTATCGCTGAATGCTGAAACAGCTATTGCTAATTTGCGTAAAAAACATAACGATGCAATGGTGGAACTTTCCGGGGAACTGGATTCTACCCAGAAGGAACGAATCAGGTTATCTTCATTTACCATCCAGTCAGAATATGAATGCCTTGCCAAGTGTATTAAGAAGTCTTTGGAATAAAAAAAAAATCTTTTTTTTGGTAAACTTGCAAATTTAAAATTGACATTTAGAATGGAAAAAGAAAAAGGCACTCTACAACGAGAAATTGATACTTTACGGAATCAATGTGACATGGAAGCTAAACAGCGCCAAAATGCGGACAGATTTGCTAAGCAGGTTCAAATTGAAATAAGATTTTAGTAATTCTAGTCAGTTTGTTTTTTTGCATTTTAATTATTAAGAAATCTGTAATTTAAGTTACAAAATTTAGTTGGAAGCACAATTAGCAGATACTCAACTGAAAGTCGATGAACAAGTACGAAATCTGCAAGAATCTATTGCAACCAAAAATAAGTTGCAGACTGAAGTCAGCGATACGAGCAAGTAATCATATCGAGAGCTTTCACTTAATTGTCTGCTGAAAATATTTTAGTTAAAAAAAGGAAGAAGATTTGAATGAGTAGAAAATTGCGGAAGAGATGTGATGATTTCATACTGTTTTGAAAGCGATCAGATATTCAGTATAGAAGGCATTTTTAGGCAACTGGAAGACTGTCAGAATCAAATAGCATTTCTCAATCGTACCAAGCAACAATTAACTGCACAGTTAGAAGAAGTGAAACGACAGTTGGAGCAGGAATCTCATGAAAAGCATTCACTTAATACACAGGTATAATGGATTCTGTCTAACGAAGCTAAGCTAAAATATAGACAGATTTCTTAAGCGGGGTCAAACTGGTATTTGAAAAAAGTGAAAACTTGAAATTTAGCTCTCAAGTTTACAACTGGAATGCCAGCAGCTTCGTGATGCGATGGACGAAGAATTGGATAGCAAAACAGAGCTTCAAAGGCTAATTTCAAAGGCCAATTCTGAAGTACAACAATGGAGAGCTCGATATGAGGGTGAAGGAATGAGTCGATCCGAAGAACTGGAAGAAGCTAGGTAATTTGAATACTTTTCTTATTCCGTTATATCTAGATTAATGATAGGTTGGTTGGTGACTGCTAGATCAGTAATATACTGTTGCATTACTTCGTTTAACAAAAATTGAATATTTTGAGGCGGAAATTGCAAGCGAAAGTGCAGGAAATGCAAGAAGCACTGGATGCAGCAAATAGTCGCATTAATTCACTAGAAAAAACTCGTCTGCGACTGGCTCAAGAACTTGAGGATGCGCAGATAGACGCTGACAAAGCAACTTCTTTTTGTCACATTTTACTCTTTCATCAATTAGAAGACTTCAAAATTTTTCGAATATATCTAGAAAAAAAAAAAAAATTTTTATATTAGTTTTAAATCATCGCAATACTAAGTGACTGTACAACTATATGCATGAAAAAATATTAAAAATTTTTTGTTAAGATTTCAGTACATCTTGCAAAACCATTTCATAAGTCTGATATAATTAGTGGCCAAGTACTGCAATATGTCCCATGCACTCAGTACAAACACTGATTTCAGGCCAATAGTTTTGCAAATTCTTTGGATAAGAAACAAAAGGTATTCGACAAAACGGTTGAAGAGTGGAAGCGAAAATGTGATATGCTAACACAAGAATTGGAAGCAAGCCAAAGAGAAGTGCGGGGTGCAACCACCGAAGCATTTAGACTTCGCAGTACTGTAGAGGAAACAGCAGAGCAGGTGCATTTTTTGCATTTGTTATCATCGAAAATATTAGTTAATTGTTTTCAAATTTTATCAAATATATCATTTATCATAATATTTTGTTGGGAGAGAGCCACGAAAACACCCACTAAGATTAAATATGCAGGTCTCTTGGTCCCAGACATTTATAGTTGCTAAGTAACATCACAATTTCAATTTTTTTAACTTCTTTGCATTTATGGAACATAATGAATTTAGGTAGAAACACTGCGACGAGAGAACAAAGTGTTAACAGAGGAATTGAAAGATGTTACTGATCAGCTTGGCGAAGGAGGAAAAAGTTTACATGAATTGCAGAAACAAAAAAGAAAATTGGAAATGGAAAAGAATGAACTTCAGGTTTCTCAATAAAAATTATTCAATTATAAGTGAAAATTACAACTGCAAATATTTTTTTTTTAATGACTCTCTCTGAGAAATCATAGCTCAACTATTAAGAAGAGATTTTCAATAAAAGATCAAATTGTCAAATATTCAGCAAGCATTGGATGATGCTGAAAGTGCGTTGGAAATCGAAGAGAATAAAGTTTTACGAGCACAAATTGAAATTTCACAAATCCGATCGGAAATTGAGAAACGTATAACCGAGAAAGAGGAAGAATTTCAAAATACACGAAACAATCATCAGCGAACTTTGGAAAGCATGCAGGTTCTTCATTCTCAACCACTCTTTGTTTTTTTGGAAATAAATTCTTCATAATGTTCTGGAAAATCAAAATTAATTACTCTACTTAACAACTGGTATCAATTCATCTCATTCACATAGTTTTGTTTCTAAGGATTATGCATTTTTGTCATTTTTCGAGCTCCTATTTTTTTCTAAAATGTTTAAAATCAAGAAAATCAATTTTTATGATACATTACTATCTGAATTTTGTCATGCTCAAGTGGTTTGATATTTAGGCTTCCCTGGAAACAGAGACGAGAGGCAGAGCTGATTTACTTCGGATGAAAAAGAAGTTGGAATCAGATATTACTGTTAGTTTTGCTCTTATCACTTCAAGTTAATCCTCGAACTACTCTGCTGAAGCACTGGGATTGTAAAAGAATTCATTTTTATATTAAAAGTGAATCATGGATGTCTTTTAGGAACTAGAAGTAGCACTGGATCATGCTAATCGTACCAATGTCGATGCTCAGAAAACCATTAAGCGTCATCAGGATAACGTACGTGAGTTGCAGGTAATAAATTTATTTTATAACCGAAAATAAGAAAGGAATGTTTTCATTGTGCAGTTATTTTCAATTTTCTCCATATCTCCTCGATTGATGCCCTGAAAACTACAGCAGATTTTGTATGAGTGTATAGGATGGTCGGTTTTTTCTGCTAGAAGTAGCCTTGGCCTGTCCTCTATGGATGAGATAAAAGGCATCAGTTCCTACTGTTAGGACGAAGTGAGTGAATGTGCAAGAGTTGAATGAATGTCATTCCGTTTAAGTTTTGATGAAAGGACACACTGATATATTACATTCGAATTATCAATTTCTCCTTCAATAAAGTTTCATTTCTTTAACAAAAATAATTTTTTGAGGAAATTTCAGCATTTTAAATTTTACAGAGCAATACAGCTGGCCAAAATTTTCTAAATTTAGTAATCTATCATAAGTCATATAACAAATTTTAATGGTAGACTCAAATCGAAGATGAACAACGGCAACGTGATGAGCTACGAGAACAAATGAACGTTATAGAAAGACGCATACAAATATTACAATCAGAAAAAGAAGAACTATCCGATACTCTAGAGCAGGTTATCAAAAAATGAATTCCTTAATCAATAATCTGATACTTTTAACTTTGCACTGTTGCCGTCTTTCTTCTGTGATAATAATTCAGTTCATTTTATTTTTCATCTTCAATCCATTAACCATTACAAAGAAGGTTATTACCAAGAATTATCATTCTTATTAATATAATTAGTCGAGTAATTAGCCAAAATTATTGATCAGATCGCTTACAACTATTATATATCAATCTGGATATCTTATTTTGATATTTCTTTTATTGGATAATGATGTTACGCGAATCGATTGCATTTTCAAATAATTTCATCAGCTCCCTGTTATCCTATTATCGGATCAGTTTGAAGAATATGAGAAATTCACAACCTGAATGCAGTATACCTATTAAATTAGCAAACTCTTTCACACCAACATTAAAATATATCTTACTATGAAAGGAGGGAATTTTTAAAGTGTGAATTTTGTGAAAATGAACCAATTTAGGCTGAACGAAATCGCCGCCAGACAGAACAAGAAGCCGCAGATATAAAGGAAGCAGTGAACTCTTTAACTCAAAGTAATTATTCGCTGTCAGCTACGAAACGAAAGTTGGAATCCGAAATTCAGGTCTTATAAAAAGTTTCTAAAAAAAATAAATAAAATAGAAATTCACATTGAAGGCTTATTGGAAAATATATGCGGGATTTTCTATAATGACGAAACGGTAAGCCGTGATGTAAAATCCACACTTTTGCCAATCAGAATAAAAGTTTTCTTATATATCTTTTTCAGAATAAGAAAAGATTGTTAAATTTTTTTTTTTTTAGAAAACCTAAACAAATAATTAGAGACATTACCATCTACGAAGTTACTGAACTGATTTCTTTTACAATTTAATAAATAATATAAATGATACTATAAATAATAAATAATACTACTACATTTGGGATGGCATATTTTTATTTATCTCCAAAAGTTTTATTTTAACTTTACTTTTATTTTCAAATGAATTTAACTTGCTTATTTTTAGTCTCCTGCTAATGCCTTAAACTTAATGTAATTGCATATTTCTCGATATATGAAAAAAACAGAATATTGATGAGCCTATTAATTGTGCAAACTGTTACGACTTTTCAAACATATTCAAAACGGGACGTCAAGATATTCTATAGGGTCACTTTTCAGCAGCTCCATAGTGAACTGAATGAAACGTTTAATGAACTAAAGAATACCGATGAACGATGCAAGAAAGCGGTGATGGATGCAGGAAAACTGGCGGAAGAGTTACAAACAGAGCAGGAACATTCACAAAATCTTGAACGACAGCGGAAAGGATTGGAATCACAAATGAAGGTTTTATTGTATTCCTCCCATCCTTACTATTTCCTATTCATTTAGAAGTTTTTCGATGAATGGACAATAATTTCAGATGGGCAGTAATGCAGAGGAGAGGCATAGAAGCAGTCTAACATAATTAGAGCCTAAATTTGTGATACATTTTCAGGAAATGCAGGCTCGTTTGGATGATGTAGAAACAACTGCCCTAAAAGATGGAAAACGTATCTTAACTAAATTAGATCAACGTGTACATGACCTTGAGATAGAACTGGCGGATGAATGTCGACGTCACGCGGAAACTCTCAAAAACTATCGCAACAGAGAACGAAAAGTGCGCGAACTTCAATTCCAAGTAGATGAAGATAAAAAGAACAGCGAACGAATGTATGATCTCATTGAAAAGATGCAAACAAAAATCAAAACTTACAAGCGGCAAATAGAAGAAGCGGTCGGTATTGGACTTTCATTAACTTTTCAAATTAAATTGCTATTAAGCTAAGAAATATTTAAATTTACTACAGTTACATGTGATAATTGTTCCATTTCAAATATTTTCTTTTGATCGTTATTCAAGAAAGATTTTTGCTGCTTCGAACAGCTCAATTTAGGTTATCTTGCAAAATTTCTTGCATTGACTTGTAAAGTAATCTGTTTTTTATTTCTTATCCTAATTTCATTCCAGTTCTTTGTTTTTCAAGGTGTTAATTTAATTCAGGAACAATTAGCCACTCAGAACATTGGCAAATATCGGCAAATGCAGCATATGCTTGAAGATGCTGAAGAACGCGCTGATACTGCCGAAAATTCGTTGGTCAGGATTCGAGCTAGAAATCGTTTTAAACCTCAGTCTGTTGGGGGACGCATCGCACATTCTGTACCATTTTTAATGTATTCAATAAAACTGAAAATTAAGAGCAAAGTAAAAAAACTGATTTGCCGCTATTTATATTTTTTGGAACAATCAGTTTTAATTGATGTTTCATAGTTTCTAACTTTTTAAACTTCGATATTCAGGTATCAAATGTTGGTATCACAGCACATCCTTCGATAGCTTCAGAAGAATCCTAAATGAAACAGTTTTCCATTAGAAAATTGACAAACTTAGAAAATTATTCATTTCTCATTTCTCTGTTGTTTTATGTTTACATGAAAAAATTTCTCTTCGTAAGTTTGAAAATTGGTTTTCTTTTGCAATGAAAGAAAATGAAACGGTTAATAGCAAAAATGTTATTAATTTCTTGTTTAAAAGCAAATAGTTGTAGCTAAGTTCTAATTTTGCTCAACTTAGAATCTATCTTGTTAAAATTCAGGATATAATCAGGAAAGGCCAAAAATCATCAGAGCTAAAAATTTTATTTTTCAAATCTATGTGCGAGAAACTTTTTTGGATAATTCAGTAATGTGATTTTCAATGAAAATTTAACTTCCTCCAGTTCTATTTATGTGTACCATTTATGATTACAAATTCTGGTCAGTAATTAAATACAGTTCTTCCTCATCTTATAATAAATTTTAATAGCTAAATGTTCTTTAAAGTTGTTCAAAGTTTTCAGTTTTTTTTATTAAATTTCGAAATCGGTTATACTTCTTTTTTCATATTTCTTTCTATCTTAAAAAGATCAAAAAATTATTGATGGAAGTTTAATACATTTTTTTGTACAACTTATCATTGTAATATCTGAATCTTATGTTATATCGATTACAAAAAATAGACGTGACAAAACAGATGAATTGCTGTTTGCGCCAACGATTCATTCATTATTGCGGTTCTAGCAATCGGTGTTAAGGTTTGTTGCTTTTCTTGAAATTTTCAGATAGTTATGTAATTAAATCTTATTAAGGTAAATTTATTGGATATCGAAGGAAGAATTTATTGAAATCCTAATGAGTAGGTAGAGCACATAATATGCCGGAGAATTTGGGAAATTAGCATTGGTAAGACAATGTCATTACTTCGAAATAAGTTGTAAATGATTTATGAAAGCTTTGTATGTCTAAATTGAAGGTATTGAGGTTTGCACAATTAGATATCTTTATCAATTTGTGAAGAGTGTTTGGAAGGATTGTATTCATCAGCACCTGTTATGTTTACGTTACTTACTCATTCATTAATCATACCTTTCATTTTTCGTTTAACTTCTGCTTCCAGTAATTTCTGTGTTTTGGAAAGTAGTCATACTTTATTTACCAAATACAAATAGTAAAGGTAGAAAAAAATAACATTCAGAGAGAATAACATTTTGAATTGATGCAGTTAATGGAAACCTCTATTGCTTTACTATAATAATTTTTAATTCTCTGAATGTTGTTTCTTGACTTGATTTTTGCTTGATATGAAAAAGAATCGTTTCATTTTATTTCAGATACTGTTTAATTTTACTCAGTTTTTTACAGGATCCTTAATTTTGGAATATTTGGTTCTATGTTACGACACTGTTTGTTTGTAATATTTCTGTTTCTTTAAAAATTTTCTTTGACACATAAATTTACTCGAAGCGAATAAACTAAGATCATGTAAGGAATGACAATGAACTTTTTGAGTGATAACAATAGAATTTGACATATGACAAACTTTTGTTTTTATAAAATATGGGCTTCCTTTGTTAATAAAGGAACAAAGAATTTCTATTTCTCCAACGGCTGGAACATTTTATTCTCCAAAAATTCAATGAGTTTCTTCTTAAACTAAACAAGAATGTTCTTAAAAAAGTTATACGAAAGCAAACTAAAATATGATTTACCCTATAGATTCAAAGATATTTATATGCATATTGTGCACGCTGTAAAAGATCTTCATATTTCTGAAGTTCTCAACAAAAAACAGTCTTGTTAGTCGTTGTTTGATGAGCTTAGTCATCAAAAAAAAAAGCTTAATCATAATCAGCATCTTATTTGAGTCAGTGATTTCAATTTAAACTTTAAACTGTAGCATTTAAACTCTTGATGGACTATGGGTAGCAACATGATCCATTTAGGTTGAAAAAAACCTTGGGATACAGGGATCCGGCTAGTAATTAACTTTCTTGACTGCTTAATTACTAATTACAGCAACTACTTGAGGAGCAAAGGTAAGTCAATTTAACCGCTCATCAGCGATTCTACTTCTCATTAAATGACTTTCTCCGAATTTGGCAACGCATATAATCTGACAAAATCTGCAAAAGTTTTTAATTTACTCAATGAACACCTAGTCTGTGCAACTGATGGGTTAATATCATGTGTATATGAGAGAAACGTGTGTGTCTCTGTCTCCGTCCGTGCGTGTCTGTAACATATGGATGAGTCATTTATTGAATGTTCTGCTTTGTCCTTTGTCATCTGCGCATTGTAATTGTATTATGAGCCTGAAAATGTATTCTGAGATGCGATAAGGGAATATAATATTTTAAATTCGTGATTTTTTCAGTCATTTGTTGTTAAGTCTTCTAATAATGTTTGTTTTACTTCGATTCTCGCATTTAAATACCTTTTCATTCTCTCTTAAATAATCTCTTCCTTTAGTTTTTAAACCTTTTACGTTTCACATTTGTTGTCAAACTTCCATGGAGTTTCATTTATTGCAACACTGATAAACTGCTCTTATGCGCCACAAATTTTTCATTAATTTAATTCTTAGTACTCAAATTCTACTGGAATAAAGAAATGAATGTTACAATTGAGTTTTTAAAATTCTTAGATATAATAAACAGGCCATGAATGGAATATACTTTATCTGACAATCTCAACAATTCCATAAGCAATGATTTATTCTGGGGCCAGTGGCATTTTCTTTCTGAACAGCATGCATGTCAAATGGAAAAAAAAAACCAAAATCGTTCTTTCTCCACCATTGGCGGTAAAATCTTTTCTGTTTTCACATCAAAATAGAATCAATCCATACATGCTTAGAAAACAACAAAAACAATAAACTTCACCAATTTGATAAATGCAAAATTTTAAGGTCTAGCAAATTTCTAACAGTTTTCTGAATTAAGGGAACTCTGCTTGTTATTACAGTTATACGCCATATTTTTAAATTAAATTTCGATAATTTCATAAGTATTTTGCTAACCATTTAGCAACTTCATGAGGTCAATGAATATTGAAATGAAGTGACGATGAGAAAGCCTTGGAAAAAGAAAAATGAAACTGCTTTTGCACAAGAAAATTGTTGAAGGTTTAATCCTGGTGTTAATAATTTGATTGAACATTTCTTCGTCTTTCATTAGTAACGACCGGTTAGTAGTTTCGAGAAGTTTCAATTTTGGGTGGTGAATTTGCAATGATTTTAGATGTGCACTTTAATTTCATTTAGCTAAATTGTTCAATCAGCAATTTCTCTCATTTTTACTCTCTGCTTTATTTTTAGTTTTAACCTTCAAATAATGCTTTTGAAGCTAACACAGCACTATCTGGTACTTTTTGTACCAAATACTTTCGTATTACGGCAAGCAGTTGAAACCTTATAGAAGTACCACTTCAGTGTTAACTTAATAAGATGCAAAGCTATAGTATTTTGACTTAGAAGAAGGAAGAAGTAAATGCTTTTTGAAATATTAATAACTTGCATGGGAAGTTGTCAATTGCAAGCTTTCTAGTTTGAGGGCAATATGGTTCCTTTGTTGTTACATGTGTTTTCCTCATTTAATATTTCAAAAAATTTCCATCAGCTGATTTCATGCAGAAATGCATTCAACTAATCATTATAATCCATTTTAAGAAATTCAATATCACAGTAAAGAGAATGCAATTTTATGTATGTTCCTTATTGCAACTTTAGCCAACACGACGACTTCATTCATTTGAGCTGCATGATTTTTAAGATTACAAGGACTGATTTCATCTGTGAACCGATAAAATTGATATGTTGATATGATTCCTAAATCTTTCTTAACTCTTTCTCACGAATACATTGCAATTGTGAGTTTAATAAGTTGAACGTATCTGCATAATATCAAGATAGTATGACTTTGAAATTATCAATTTAGAGAGAAATGATTCACTTCCTGCCATAAAGTGGAGAAGAAATCGTCTTTTTGGTCTTTTTAGAAATCCATTTATTGTTGATGAATGAATGATTGAAAGCATAAATAGGTTGCTAAGAGGCATCGGGCATTATATTTAGGATTGATGCTAAAGATGGTTATGTTTTTAAATGCATTTATCAATGCAGTATAATGATAGTATGCTTGGATTGAACAGTAATTAATAGACAGCGAAATCTTCCTCATTTACTATGCATACCTCATTCTACCCTAGTAACTTCATCGTTGGCGCAAAAGTGTAATTGTTTATGATCTTCTTTTGCATCGTTTCATTTTAGGAGTCAGGATGACCAGTATATGAAAAATTCTTGTTAATCATTTATTCTAATTTAATGATTGCTACCGATTTATAGGTAAATCTTTGGTCGTATCCCTTTCTCACTCCAAACTGCCATTTATTTAAAGAGAAAATGAAATAATTTGCTCATTGGATTTTAAAATGCAATATGAAAAGTAATCTTTATGTTTGCACAAATGACAAGTAACGGGATTAATTTTTTGCTCCAAGCAAAAAAGCTAGCATCCAATCGGGATGTATTTGCGTTTGCAATTGTTTACGGTTACAACGAATGCAGCGTAGTGTATTGGAGACAAAAAATATCGGATTCGTATAAATCGGATTTAGAGCAGATTTTTAAGTGGAAAATGAGAATTTAGGAAGAATATTTTGTGAATATCTGTACGGAAAGAGAGAGTCAGCAAGCGGAAGAGTTAAGAAAAACGGTATGATTAAAATCAAATCATACAGCATTGTAGGGAAAAAGTTTGAAGTTTGATATTAAGTTATATTTCCAAGGCTTTTGACAACAGCAATTTAGATAAATGTATGCACTGAGATGTTATTTTGAAATTGAAGTGGAATCAAAACGAATCCACTAACTTGATCGTATCATAAATCAAGCAAACGATGGAAAAAAGCAATAAGGGAAATAAGTCAAATAGCATTGGAAAAGTGAGATAATTCAAATAGAAAAATTGAAATTTAACGTTGGCCAGCTTCGATACTAGATAATATGAATTCAATTTTAGGCATAAAATTTTGAGCTGAAATTTGAATTTAAAATTCTGTTTCTTTTTTTTTTTCAAAATATTTTAAATGCTGCTTCCTTCCATCATTGATGAAATTCAGGTAATTCAGATGACGTCTAGAGTGCAAACAGCTTTGACGGCAGCTGCAGTTGCTTCATCTGGTAAAATGCCGTCTTTAATTCACAAGCAACGCCATGGTTCACCTACCGCAGGTATCTTTACACGCAGTCAGCAGAAACGATCATTCAGCTCCGTATATTCTGTACGACCAGGAAACAATGGTACAACAAGCGATACAAGCTGTGCATCGTATACTGATCGCCTTCAAGTGCAGAAAATGTTAGTGGTATTTCTGACTTTGATATATGCATCGAGGAGTTATGGTAGTTATAAGTGATGTTCAAGTGATAAGCGTGTTTATCATTTGAACATCGCTTATTATTTATGCTGTACTCACTTTTTAATATCATTAGTATGGTTAGACTGTGTTGAATAAATTGAGCTAAAATTATTTTGATGATTATATTTTAAAAAGTCATATTTCATTCCATCTAATACGAATTAATGTGATTCTATTTTAAATTTACTGTTATTTAATAAATTTCTACTTTGCTATTTAAATGAGAAGATTTGATGTGACTCATTTTAAAGTAATGAGGGTCTGATATTTCGGGAATACATTAAGTCATGCAAATAATTTTGAATATATTTTAATGTGTATTTCAAAAGAATTCTCCCAATTATCAGGAGCATTTTTGTGAATGATGTTTGGCATTTCATTTAAATTTTGGAACACTCTCCTTCAACTGATATCAGTTCAACAGGTGGCCAATGTTGCCGAAGTAGTGAAGTAGCTACAAAGTGATTCTAGATGAAAGAATTTATAGTTAGTTACGATAATTCTCTTTATCTTTATTTTTAATATTCATGCAAACTTACGTACGTAACTTACTTGCATCTCAAATTCATTATCTAAGCTTTTACTGTTTTTGATACACAGAATGTTGAAGAATCTTTGTTATGAATTCACGATGTAATTCGATGACTACTAGAGATGTTTATTTCTTTCTAACATTTTTTTATCAAATTCTGGTTTTATCCATTTCAAATTCCAAATCAGCTCTGACCCGAGCATAAAATTCATCATTTCGGTGCGCTATAATTTGATGCATTGTGTAATAAATGTATGCCTAACCTTCCAATTTGGTAAAAACGTTTAATTTCACTTAAGATAACAAGAGAGGTTTATATAATAAACATCAGTAATGACTTCAGTTATAAGCGCTTAGCACTGTCGTTTAGGTTTTAAATTCTATAAAGATATTTTTTAATGGTTCCTTCTATGATATCCATACATACTTCGGAAAAATTCCTGTCTTTGTTCAGTCAAACTATTTTATTTCTTAATTAGTTGATGCTTATGAATGCAGCTTTTCTTGTTTAGGAATTGAAAATGCACCATGGCCTCTTAAATTGTTATTAACACTTGAATAGGGTTTTCATGAAAGAATTTATCTTTTATAAAAGCTCTAATATTAAATTATTTGAAACGCATGTACAATTCAGGAAGTTGTTCAATAATTGATCAGTACTTTAGCTATACTTTACTTTTTAAGAAAAACTGTTATATTTTTAAGTAAAATTTGAACATTGGTGAAATTTGCTCATTCTCTACAATACTTTCATAGAAGTAGTTTGTTGTTCAACTATTCGTCGACTAATACAATTTCTTTCTCATGGCGTATGTGGAAATTAGTCAGGATAAAAGGAATTAAAAGGAAGAAATGGAAGAGTAACAAATGCTTCAATAAAATTAGCAGGCGAAAACAAGGTCAGTGAATAAACTGCTCACTCTGGAAGATAAAAAAAATTCAACAGTTCAACGAAAATGATAAATCAATTCGGGAAAGTCAATGAACATGAAGAACCTGTCGCTTTACGAAAGAAAAATGGTGCAAAACAACAAGCTCAAACTAATAAGACCGCTGAAGATTTTCGTCTTTCGTAGGGAATTTTGTCGGAAAAACATTTAATATGTAGAAATAAAATTATATTACATCCATAGAACTAAGACTGTCTTTTTTAGACATTCCTTGAACAAATCTTCCCGTGCATGAGATCATTTAATAGCCATCTAGCTGTGCTTATTCGCATTGTTATTCCTTATTTGTGCTATTTGTACAATGAAAGGTAGGGTTTGTGATAACAATAAAGAAGAAAGTGAAATAGTGAGGAAAAATTTTATTATTATAGTTTCTTGTAGTGAGTAGATTGCACTGTTTTGTAGGTTTTGGTGAGTTCTTAATGTTATTATATTTAAAGCTGAAAAATATAATATTATAAAAAACCGTTATTGTCATAAACTTAATTGTATGCAAAACAAAACTGATTTTTATGGAAGTTAAGATTTTACTATTTCACTTTCCCACTCCCTTCCCCTGATAATGAACTTTTGAACTCCGAAACACGAAAGTCACCAGTAATACTTTGTATATTACGTGATCTTACTGCACAGTCATGCTATAATTTATGCTATTCTCTTCAAGATGAGTCACATAGGACATTCTATTATTGGTGAATAAGTTTATGGAAAAAATAGTAGCAAAAGTGTAAGTTTTTTTAATTTCAAAATAGATAAGCATACACTTCTATAAACTAGAAATTTATCCCCAATTAGATTGTTTACAGTTATCAGCTCTTTACTTAGTTCACCTCCGTTGTTGTTTGTTGGTTTCTTACTAACTGTAAATTATGTTCGAATTTGACAAGGTTGACAGCATCTCGTTTAACTGACTTCCTGTGCGCTACTGTGATATTATAAATGTTATGAGTTAATGCTTACTATATTTTTGGATAGCAATCTGACATTCACTGGCCCCCACACAACTATTTCCTCGAACTATTTCGTTCAATGACTATGATCAACGATAATTTTTGTCCCAATAAAAAAAAGATTGGTCAAATGTCATCTTCTCTGCAAGGCAACAACTGTTCAGTCTACAATCTACTCAAATCAATGTGTTCCAAACTTTATAAATCAAACAGATTTCCAGGGGTCAGCACTTCTCAGCATTCACGTAACTAATCCATTCTTTCCAATATACATAGCCTAAATTATGAATTAGTTGTATGTGATTGAGAAGTAATCGAAGATTTGAAGGATGTCTACTAGTACTGTAAAGCTTCAAATCTCTTTTGCACTTCAATAAATTCTTCACAAACAGGAAGAATGTCTGCTGTGTGACTGAAGAAAAGCTTTGTCACTTACAACCACTTTTGAAGATAGTTTTTCTTTCTTCATACTTCTTTCTTGCATATCTACCACATTGCAATGAACAAAACCTGCAAATTTTAACATTCAGGACTTGAATTTATCGTTATGAATGATATGTGGATCAAAGTTTTCGTCATTTACGTTTTGATATTCGTTGGTGTTTAAGCTGAAATGTTCGATGTTCTTAATAATAATAATAATAATAATAATAATAATAATAATAATAATAATAATAATAATAATAATAATAATAATAATAATAATAATAATAATAATAATAATAATAATAATAATAATAATAATAATAATAATAATAATAATAATAATAATAATAATAATAATAATAATAATAATAATAATAATAATAATAATAATAATAATAATAATAATAATAATAATAATAATAATAATAATAATAATAATAATAATAATAATAATAATAATAATAATAATAATAATAATAATAATAATAATAATAATAATAATAATAATAATAATAATAATAATAATAATAATAATAATAATAATAATAATAATAATAATAATAATAATAATAATAATAATAATAATAATAATAATAATAATAATAATAATAATAATAATAATAATAATAATAATAATAATAATAATAATAATAATAATAATAATAATAATAATAATAATAATAATAATAATAATAATAATAATAATAATAATAATAATAATAATAATAATAATAATAATAATAATAATAATAATAATAATAATAATAATAATAATAATAATAATAATAATAATAATAATAATAATAATAATAATAATAATAATAATAATAATAATAATAATAATAATAATAATAATAATAATAATAATAATAATAATAATAATAATAATAATAATAATAATAATAATAATAATAATAATAATAATAATAATAATAATAATAATAATAATAATAATAATAATAATAATAATAATAATAATAATAATAATAATAATAATAATAATAATAATAATAATAATAATAATAATAATAATAATAATAATAATAATAATAATAATAATAATAATAATAATAATAATAATAATAATAATAATAATAATAATAATAATAATAATAATAAAATAATAATAATAATAATAATAATAATAATAATAATAATAATAATAATAATAATAAAAAAAAAAAATAATAAAATAATAATAATAATAATAATAATAATAATAATAATAATAATAATAATAATAATAATAATAATAATAATAATAATAATAATAATAATAATAATAATAAATAATAATAATAATAATAATAATAATAATAATAATAATAATAATAATAATAATAATAATAATAATAATAATAATAATAATAATAATAATAATAATAATAATAATAATAATAATAATAATAATAATAATATAATAATAATAATAATAATAATAATAATAATAATAATAATAATAATATAATAATAATAATAATAATAATAATAATAATAATAATAATAATAATAATAATAATAATAAAATAATAATAATAATAATAATAATAATAAATAATAATAATAATAATAATAATAATAATAATAATAATAATAATAATAATAATAATAATAATAATAATAATAATAATATAATAATAATAATAATAATAATAATAATAATAAAATAATAATAATAATAATAATAATAATAATAATAATAATAATAATAATAATAATAATAATAATAATAATAATAATAATAATAATAATAATAATAATAATAATAATAATAATAATAATAATAATAATAATAATAATAATAATAATAATAATAATAATAATAATAATAATAATAATAATAATAATAAATAATAATAATAATAATAATAATAATAATAATAATAATAATAATAATAATAATAATAATAATAATAATAATAATAATAATAATAATAATAATAATAATAATAATAATAATAATAATAATAATAATAATAATAATAATAATAATAATAATAATAATAATAATAATAATAATAATAATAATAATAATAATAATAATAATAATAATAATAATAATAATAATAATAATAATAATAATAATAATAATAATAATAATAATAATAATAATAATAATAATAATAATAATAATAATAATAATAATAATAATAATAATAATAATAATAATAATAATAATAATAATAATAATAATAATAATAATAATAATAATAATAATAATAATAATAATAATAATAATAATAATAATAATAATAATAATAATAATAATAATAATAATAATAATAATAATAATAATAATAATAATAATAATAATAATAATAATAATAATAATAATATAATAATAATAATAATAATAATAATAATAATAATAATAATAATAATAATAATAATAATAATAATAATAATAATAATAATAATAATAATAATAATAATAATAATAATAAATAATAATAATAATAATAATAATAATAATAATAATAATAATAATAATAATAATAATAATAATAATAATAATAATAATAATAATAATAATAATAATAATAATAATAATAATAATAATAATAATAATAATAATAATAATAATAATAATAATAATAATAATAATAATAATAATAATAATAATAATAATAATAATAATATAATAATAATAATAATAATAATAATAATAATAATAATAATAAATAATAATAATAATAATAATAATAATAATAATAATAATAATAATAATAATAATAATAATAATAATAATAATAATAATAATAATAATAATAATAATAATAATAATAATAAATAATAATAATAATAATAATAATAATAATAATAATAATAATAATAATAATAATAATAATAATAATAATAATAATAATAAAATAATAATAATAATAATAATAATAATAATAATAATAATAATAATAATAAAATAATAATAATAATAATAATAATATAATAATAATAATAATAATAATAATAATAATAATAATAATAATAATAATAATAATAATAATAATAATAATATAATAATAATAATAATAATAATAATAATAATAATAATAATAATAATAATAATAATAATAATAATAATATAATAATAATAATAATAATAATAATAATAATAATAATAATAATAATAATAATAATAATAATAATAATAATAATAATAATAATAATAATAATAATAATAATAATAATAATAAATAATGGTTTAAAAAGAAAAGGGATTAAAGAATTGTGAAAAAATGCCTTTTAATTGAAAAAGTATTGGTTAAAGCTCCTCGTTCTTTCATACTTTTTGTTATTCGTCTTTCCAAAACTTCCAGTTTCCTCGGAAACAAAAAATGCTCTTTTATCACACAATTTCCGCATACTAAGAAAATCGCACATCTTCCTTAATGATAAGGTATTTTTCAATTTATCGATGCTTAAATATTAATTCTTTTTATAGTAAAAATAATATTTGGCATTCGTAAATTGATGTTGTAAAAGAATTGTAATTTAGTCCGTGTATTTTCAAATTTTTTTTTGAATTTTTATTTGTTAACCATGTGCCTTCACTGATGGAAAAAACCATCCGAACAAAAAACTTATTTATAATGATTTCGGAATTTATAAGGCTCTTTTTGAGTAGTTCATTGCCGGAAATAGAATTCCGTTTTACGGCTATCTTTTTATTAATTCTTCACAAAATCTATTCGTTTATTCTATGTGAATCTAAATGAGCCTTTTGACGACTCCCAATGTTCGCTGCTCTTT